GATAGATAGATAGATAGATAGATAGATAGATAGATAGATAGATAGATAGATAGATAGATAGATAGATAGATAGATAGATAGATGGAGAGATTCTAAATAAAGAGATGCTATTTAGCTGTTCTTTCCTCAGTGACTACTTCAACACATAAGAGTTTTATTTTTAGAACAACCCTTTAGTGTCGACAAGTATTGCTGACCAAAACCAATCAAACAAAGCATCTTTTCTGCATTTTTTCTTTAGGATTTTACAACTATTTGTTAACTTAACAGTTGTCCCTGTGTTGCCTTGGTGTAATTTAAATATAAGTAAAGCGCAAAAGACGTTTATGCAGTAACAATCGATGGACAGTTTTTATAAATTACATCGAATTGCCAAAGCTAAATCTTACATTCCTATTTAAATATCTTACCTCTGACCTTTTAGATCCCTGCAGCTCTCTGTATTTTGCACCTAATCAACTGTCTCTCCATCACCGGCAGTTAGTGTAAAACTCTGCTGCATGTCTTAGAACGGGTACTAGAAAGAATGGCCAGATACCCCAAAAAGATCACATACTGTAGAGCAAGATGCACTTCCTGCAGCTAAGGCCAAATGAAAGCATAGAGGGATCAGGATAACTCCATAGAACACATTTTTTTAAGTCTTTTAATTCAAGTTCAGTTTGAGTTCAATCAGACCTCCTAGGTTGTGCTTTTTTCAAATCATTTTTTTTTCTTTGTAATTTTTTAAAATAGTTTTTATGGTTGCTCTCTAAAATTACTTTTTATTTATTGTATGTGAAGCACCTTGGTCAATGGTGAAATGATGTTAAATGTTCTATTTATTTTAGCTTAATATTAACAACTGATGACAGCATACCACTTGCAGTATGATGTTATAACTGTAGGCTTTGTCCTTTTATCTTCCATTATACAGATTTAATGTTATAAAACTCAGCAACCATAGGTTTTCAGAAACTAAGCCTTAGCAGAGACCTAATTTCTCATGATGTTACACCAGGATTTCATCAGCTATTATCCCCCAAAGCTTCACAATTATTATTTTTACAATACTGCCTGTCCGACCCTGACTATAGCCTTACACGAATAAAAGAAAACTCTTAAAAAAGACTTGTAAGGAACTAAATTTAGTTCTATTACATATATTAAGGTCATTAAGAAGTGATGGTGAATATCTTGTTTTGAACAAATTATTCTGTTCTCGGGTTTCATAAAGGATCCAAGTTTTTAATTAAGCCGTTGTTATAATGATGATTAAAAAGCTTCTGTATTGAATTGATACTTATTATTTTTAAGATTACTTTTGTTTTTTCTGGTAGTAAGGTGTTAACTAGTATATAACCAGACAAAGGAATTGTCACTGTTAAGGAATGCACTATAAATACCAGTCTAACAAAAAACACTGCAAACAATTCCTGTTTTCTAATCCTGTCGTATTATCTCCCACAGATTTTTTACAACGTCTTCAGGTCCTGAAAGTGTAACCTTATTATCAGATCTGCAGGAATCTCATGTTCTACCACTGTGTCTGGTGACTGTGAAGCAAATGCTGGGAGCTGACTCAGGATGACACTAAGCATCTAAGTTTTTTTAAGAAATGAAAGGACCGTGAAGGTGCAACATCAACTTTCTAGTGGCATTGACCATTGACTGAGGCAAGGTGGAAGATGCTTTGCTATTTCTGTCTCAGTCTATCAGCGCATAAGAGGCCGGCTTTGAACCCCGCTTGACTCTGAAGAGATGGGGAAAGAACGATGCAGAGGGGCATAAGGAAGGAAAAAGGAATTGCATGATGAGAGTGTTTTTTTCTGCTTGAGCGAAAGGAGGCAAGATGGGGAGAGACAGTGACGAGTTGATATGAGGGAAGTGAGATGTGGCAAGCCAAGTGAAGTAGATGCTCAATCAGTGCTGTCAGGTTTTCTTGCAGTCAGAGACAACTGGCTGAGACTTCAGATGATGTGCCGCCTCACTAATGACAACCGGGCGTCAATGTTACTGGCAGAGCAGACAATTGGCTCGTTTGTGAACACTGTTGGAATTATTTTTCACTATGCATTTTCCTGATTTTTATTGCACTTGCTTGTATGAAAGATAGTTTTGAGAGAATGAAAGATAATTTCAGATCACGTGTTGAATAAACAGAAATTGAAAAAGCTGCAAAAAAAAAAGGCAGCTCTCTTGTTTTTTACATTCTCAATCAATACCCTGAATGCATGCCCCTTGTCAAAAGGAACAAAAAGCAACCTCAAATCCCTCTTTTTCAGCTGATGGAACTTTTAAGGTTCAAACCTTTTAGGTGAGATTGACAGCTCTGCATTAACTGTGTTGATTATTTTGTGTGTTCACAGCTGTCGACACCACTAAGGACCCCTGCCAGAATGTGAAGTGCAGTCGCCATAAGGTGTGCGTTGCTCAGGGCTACCAGAGGGCCACATGTATCAACCGCAAGAAACTGGAGCAGAGGTAAGAAAGTTCTCAATCCATGAATGAGAACACGTCTCAGTTTTTTTTTTTTTGGGTGGATTAAAGGTGCCTCGCCAAAGTTTTCCTACCATGTAGAAAATTATCCTCATTTTGTCGTGTAACAACTACAGATTTCAATTTTACTTATTAGTACCGTACATCATGTGACTGACCGCACCCAAAAAAGAAAATGCAGCTCCAACTTAAATGAATAACCTCAATTGTTAACCAGTAACTGAATCAAGGTTATCCTTACTTAAATAAACTTAAATACATTAAAATTATAGTGGAGGATTTTTGTCAAACGCACATACACAACCCTGTACCTGCTCCCGAGAGGGAAGGCCTATTAAACTTGCACTACAGCATGCACAAGCCCATTTCTCCTCATGTACATTCTGTTTAAAAGTTGCTGTTTGCATCACTCATACAAGCTTACTTTCCAAAAGAAGATCTGCAATTTTTCCCTTATGTCAGAGTTACCACCAGCAGGTGAAAACGGGGTTGAGCACGTAGGACGTCCTTATGTAAACATAGCACCAGAATGATTGACAATTAGGAGGACCACTTATTTTGATGATCCATCCAGAAAAAGAAAATCCTCCACTATACTGTACCTTTAAGTTGGGCAAATTTAATTAAATTACTTGACACCAACTGAACCAATCCATTTAAGCAGGAGCTGCATTTTTTTTTAGAGTGCAATACAATACACTGCATAATAGGGAAAAAGAAGGAACATTTTATGTTTTTTTCCAATTAACCATTCTGTTTAATTTTGACAGCTTACGCTCAGTTAGACTGTATGTAGAATTTCTAAAAGAAAATTTGGTCTGGACTCAAACTAAGCTATATCTAAACTGTTCTGTTTTACAATATATGTATTATGTTATTGTCACAGTCCTACCTGTAGATGTTACACTAGAGCACTGTGTCCTCTACATAGTCTGTGGCTAACGCTCCTTTCTTGCCACTCCTCTATATTTCGTGAAATTTAGTTTTCTATACACTCTGTGTATAAAAAATAACAATAAAAGTTGTCAAAGTCTAAGCCTATAAAGCCAGATGTATAATGTGCTTACATTCATAGATTATAAAGAGTGATATTTGTGCTTGGTATCTCAGTTCTGATAACAGGAGATTCACACTGCAGGATTTTAAAAACGTTTCTATGTTGTTGTTTTTTTGTTTTTTGTTTTTTTTGTTTTTTGTTTTTCTATTAAATGTCAATCAAAGGTTGGGGAATATTGCTTAAACTGTTATATACAAATTAACCTCTGTGTGAAAAAAAAAAACAGCATGAATGTCTCTCATATCTGTATCTGTATAAAACTGAGCTGAAACTGCACAAAACTGTGATGGTAAAAATGTTTTGTAACCATTGTGTTTTAAAGGTATAGTAAACCAACCCAAGACAGACTCATACATTTTTAAAATTCCTACACAAAAGTACACTCCATGTTCTGGAAAGAACAAAGTTGTTTGTTTTTATTTAGCACTGCCATTTGTGTAGCTCTACCTGCACAGAATGGTGTCAAAAATTAGATGATATCGACCACAGCAAGACAAGACCATGAAAAGATGCTGAACGGTTAAAAGTTACCAAATGCCACTGTAAATACTTCAACGGTTTCAACAGGATAATTATCCCAAACGTGCGTAGAAATTGGCTTAGGAATTGATATTCAGGGTGATATTAAGTTTCTGAAACCTTACTGACCTCATCCCTATTAAAAATTCATGAACTTTGCTTAAAAGCAGAGCTGTGTCTGGAAATCTACTAATCCAAATGAGGCCTGCAACAAGCGTGGTCAAATATTCAGTTAGTTATTCCAGAATCATGTTGATGTTTTTAAGCAAGCATTTGGGGGTTCTGCAGCTTGTCAAGAGACAGTTGATGCAAATGTCATTTAGTGTTTATGTGTAATTTGGCACAGCTTGGTTTTAGGAAAATCAACAATAAATTCCAACTTATAAAACCTGTTCTTATTTAATTAAATCAACAATTCCAACTTAAAAAATACTTTTCAAATAATAAAAGTTTTCAAACCACACTTAAAACACATAAAAAATGATAATAGGTTATATAGTGTAAGATAGATGTATGCAGCACTTTGCATGGAAGAGCACTGCTGCACATAGAAGTTCTGCATAATCCTCTCCTCACAAAGAATCTTTTTTCTTTTCAGTTGAAGATGTCATTTTAAAAGTATTTATCTACCCTTGTGCTCATTTGTTCCACTTTGATTGCATAGCAAATGAGCAGTGTTGCAGCCTGAAACGAATTAATGGAGTGAGTTATTACTACCTGAGAAGTCTTATCTGCAGCGACAGGCGTTTATCTTTTTCAATAAAGTGCATCATGTACAGAGTTTCTGCTGAGTAGATCTGGGGGTGCGTGTCAAACAGTGGGTAATGAGCGAGAACAAAGCCGTACCTAATCCTCCCAGAACCAATAAACAGCAGCAGTTGCAGCTAAGCTGGATGCTGTTATTTACTAAACATGTATGTAAACAGTATTTTTATATTTTTATGTATATTTTTTTTCTTTGTCAAGTGTTAAAAAAAGTAAAATGGGCAAGCTGTTGGTACTGGATCTGTTCAAGCAAACTACAAAAAGATCTTCTAATTTTGATTTCACACTCCGAAGAATTATGTCTGCCTTGGCGGTAGGCGGAATGGAATTCAATCTCATGGACAAAATGGAAAAAACGTTGAGCAACGAGGCAAACACGTGGAAAGAATGGTTGGATTTAGATGCAAAGAGGTGCACTGGCGAAGCAGTTACTATGTAAATAGTCCTATTGTCATGGATTTGACTATTCTACAGCAATTTAATGCGACGGCATCATGGGTGAAGTAAGGCATTGCTGTCAAATTGTTTTTAGATCATCAAACAGTCAGTAAAGGTAATGTCTGTAGTTTTTACATGTGTTAAATAGCATTACCAGTAGGTAATTATGCTTGGAAGGTTTTTTTTCTTTTGCCTCTCATGAGGCTGGTTGGTGGTATGGAACCACTGCATACATAAGGGAACTTAAACATGTTTTAGGCTTTGAATAATATGAACAAATATGACAACATGAAAATTGTAACTATACAGTTTACCACACACGGATGCCTTGTGATAGAACACATGAATACTTCTGCAAGGAGGAGACAAGACACATGGTCAGATAGCAGATCTAACATCAACGACCTGGAGTTTGGAGTTTGTACCAAGCCCCAGTGCTGGACGAACAACAATAATAAATAAGATAAAATCACCCCTAAATTAAGACCCTTTTAACCTCGACACCAGCTAATGAAGTTAAGCAAAGTGATTTCAGAGGATCTCCTATAGGTAATGTGAATACAGCACTAACTAACCTGAGTAAGGTTGGCCCCCCAACCTTATTGAAATCAGATAAAACTGGTGTCAAACGTTTGTGCTGGTTTGTGAAGCAAAAATTTCCATTTGTTTGCTACCATTTTAAAAATATAAAGAAATGTTTCTAGAGGTCATCAAAGGTCAATCAGCCAACCCACCTTCTTCAAACCAAACAAAATGGGTGTCAATTAACCTGACTCTGTTTGTGCTGGTTTGTGCATCAAAAAGTGTCATTTGTGCTGATTTGGCTTTGAAGATATTAATGAAAAGGTAAAGGTCAAAAGGTCAACCAGCCCCCTTCACTTTTCTGAGATCAGACAATATTGGTGTCAATCACCTCAGCTATGTTTGTGCTGGCTTGTGCAGCAAAAACTTTCATTTGTGCTCCTATCATTCTAAAGATATAAAGAAAAATGCTCTCCAGGGGTCATCAGAGGTCAACCACTCCCATGACCCTGCTCACATTTGCAAAAATAAATACATTCGATGTCAATCAACTTTGCTACGTTTGTGCAGCAAAAATTTTCGTTTGTGCCGCTATCATTTTTTTCAGGCTAAAATTTAATTATTTATATTCATAGGTTGGCAACTTATAATTTATATGAAATTCATAGTTTCAGCATGAACAGATGTTCACTGACCTTTGATGACCTCTACAAACTATTATTTATATCATTAAAATGAGAGCAGTATATAAATTAAAATTTTGGCTATACAACAATATAAGATTTTAAAATATATATTATAAAATATTGAAAATAAATATATTTAAAATATATAAATTTTAAAATGCATATTTTAAAATATATAATTTTTTTGTACTGCTACAAAACTGCCTTTGTACTGCTTTTTAGTATAGATAATTTATTATAGATAAAGAAATTTCAAATTGTTTAGAACATTCCACATCAGGATATCGCTTTTGTTCAAGGGAACTGGTTGAGGTCTTAATAATGTCCTATAGGAAGAATAAATCATCTTTTAGGCCAATGATTGGTTAACGGTGGGCATGGCCATCCCTACCCCCCCTTCTAGCTCAGTGCCTGGCTGAAAGCATTGGTAAAAACACCAGAGGAGACAAACACCAACCGCTGGTTGATGGAACAGTCGCTCAACATTTGCAAACCAGACAAACTAACCACTGCATTGCCTGGATTGTTTACAAAAAGGCCTATGACTTAAAGGCATAGTGGAGGATGATCTTTTTTTCCGGGGGGGATCATCAAAATAAGCAGCCCTTCTAATTGTCCATTATCCTGATGATATGTTTATGCAAGGCCGTCCTACATGCTCGTCCCCATTTTCACCTACTGGTGACGAGTCTGACAGTGGAGAAATTGCATATCTTATTTTGTAAAGTAAGATTGTATAAGCTATGCATCCACCAACTTTTAAACAGAGCGTGCACGAGGAGAAATGGACTTGTGCACGCTCTCACACATATTTAATAGGTGTTCCCTCTCGGGAGCAGAGACAGGGTTGTGCATGTGCATTTTTTTAAAAGTGGAGAGGGTGGTCCTTTTCAAAAATGTGCAAAGATCCTCCACTATACCCTTAATGCTACACAACTAGAACTTGGAATGCCTGAAGCTGTAAAAGGGCAACGACACTGTGAGAGCCTTCATTGGAAACTGGAAAATTTCCATTAAATGTGGAACACACCAAGGAGAAGCTCTGTGCCCCCTGCCATTCTGCATAGGCCTGAACCCCTTCAGACAAATAATCGAAACTGGCTTTGGCGGGCCACTGTTAGCCACCCGTACATTTCTAACATCAGGTTGTATGCGAAGAGTAAGCAACACATTTATTTGCTGATCAACACCACCCGAATGTCCAGCAGTGACATCGGAATGTCATGCAGCCCAAATTAAATATGGCTGAATTAAACGTGGCCAGATGGTGACAAAGACTTATACTTGATATCCCACTTGTATTTAGTTAAATGTTCCTTACAAAGTCGCCAAATGGCACAGAAGCTGTACATTTTCTCTAGCTATCAACTGTTTTGTGGGATAATTCCAGCTGGATATATGACAACTTTTCTTGGCAGAATTGGCTATATACAACCCAACCCCTAAACCTCAGGCTTACCATAAATTAGAAAATTCTGCAGCAACTATCCACAGTGAACTTAGACTTAGACATACTTTATTGTAATTTTGTATACAGTGTATACAAAACTTAATTTTTGATGTATACAGCTTTTCAACATTGAATGAGCAGCTTACAACAGTGAAATGAATATTTCCATTTATAAAGTGCAGCAGCGATCAGAATGTAAACAGTGTAGGAGAAAAGGAAAACTAGTTTAAAGTCATGGTGCTAAAGGCATTTATATGGAAAGGTTCAGTGCAATGCAAATAATTATAAATGGTGCAAAATGCAGCAGAAGTAATGCAGTAGATTATGTAAAAATCAGTAGTAGTAATAAAAATTAGTAGTAAAAATCATTAGTGGGGATTATAAAAAAAATCAGCTATGTTGGTATTGCAAATATGATGTTTACAAGTGTGATGTAGAGTCTTGATTAGAGTTTCAACACTTCAACGGTCTCATGGCAGCAGGGAAAAAGCTGTGAAGTGAGTTTAACTATGATCTGCAGGATCTGATGGGGTGTATACCAAGTGAGAGGCAACTGATTTAAGATAAGCATTTTGAAGCATGAACGAAATGCACAACTAACCCCATTTATGAATCAGATGCCTCCTGGAGAAGAGTTTCCATGTCTAATGATGCAGAGATTTAGCTACCGTATTTAACCGCAGTTGTAAAAGCAGTTTTTGTGATGTCAGGTAAAGCTATCCAAGAAAGACATTGGATATGTATGATTGTGGATGCACCATGTTGAGGATTTAGTTTACTGACAGTGGTAATAATGCAATATGCACAATGTATTCTAAGAAAATTTGAAATATAAGTTATTTTCTCGTTCTCAGAGTCAAACAGCAAGGGCAGCTTGAGGGCCATGAGAGCAGCTGTAAGCCTTGTCCTGTTGCTGCATCTTCGCCCGTTTGTGGCTCCGATGGACACAACTATGTTTCAGAGGTAAAGAAATACACAAACACACACACATATATATATTTATATATTTATATGTTTATGTATGTATATTTGAGATACACCCAAACATCCAGAGAGGGAAGTGAAAGTGGCTGTGTCATCTCTTTAAATAACGAGATGAGGACCAGTCAAGTGTAGTTTCCTGCTGCACTGACACATAACGTGGGTGCAGCAAGGCGGCAGTTCATCACTGCTTACAGGAGGACAGGTGACACGGAATGAGCGTGGCCTTATGATTAATGGCATCCGTTGTTTCTGAGCAGCATCACCGTTGACCGTCCGCTGCCAGGACCCTATTGATTTAGTGTGCTCTTTTTAATTTTGACCTTGCATGCGAAAGACACAGGAAAATGACAGCTTATTCTCACTGCCTTTCCTTTAAGTGCAGTGTCTCGTCTGAACGAGCAATCTCTCTTTCCTGCGGACAGCCTCATAAATATTGTATCTGCATTCGTGCCTTTCTCGCCCTCTCATGCAGTGTAAGTTGGAGCAGCAAGCTTGCCTCACAGGGAAAGACCTCAGGATCATGTGTTCTGGATTTTGCCCCTGCTCCACCGCTCCTGCTGCAAACACTGACATTAAACGGGGCAAGTACCTTTTCTTTACCTGCAGTATTTTAAATGTCTAGTATCACACAAATAAACTCATTTTAGTCTCTGAAAAAAAAACAATTTAACAGAAAATCCTGTTTGAACTGAAACTACTTTTATCCTGTAAGATGTGTCCTGAGATCTTCAAACCATGCAATATTTATTACCTTGAAGCCGTCATTATAAGATTATTTTTAGATGTATATCAGTAAATGTTAAAGTTTTGATGAGGTGAAATGTCCCTATTATTCTAGTTAAGACATTTACTTTGGCCCACAGGGAAGAAAGAGAAGGTATGTTTTTTTTAAATGTTTCTTTAAACAGGTGTCCATAATTTTTACAATAATACAGCATTTTTACCTAAGTGATGAGTGTTTTTTTTCTCCTTACTGAGGGCTTAATCTCAACTGATTAATCAGTGATTTCTACCTTGCAGTCTGGTTTACTTCTGCCTTTTTAGAGCAAATTTGCAGCTTTTATTTTTTTTTAAGTTTTTGCTGTTGCCTTGGTTCTACTTCAACTTTTCTTCTTTAATTTCTGTGAATTTTCTGTCATTGGTACATTTTTCTTTTGCATCCTTTTTTGTTGCACATGTTTTTTATGGTGTAAATTCCTTTCCCTTACATTTAGAAGCAAAGAACACATTTTATAGGTAAAAACAAAATTGTTATCTAGGAATGAAACTGTGAAAGCTTTCCCAGTAAAAAAGTCACTTTGCTAATTTTTCAGATTTCATTCTTTCAAACTGAATTTTTCAGACTGAGTTTTACATATCGCATTCTCTTAGGCTTAAAGTGAAGAGAATGTGATTTATAAAAACCTATTTAAGAAAAAGCAATTCCTAAAAATCATTGTAAAGAAAGAGAAATTGGAAAACATTATTTGAATCTGTTAAAAGAGATAAGAGTTTGATCAAATAAAAATGAAAAATTTTAATCTGAAGAAGAAAAAAAAAAAGCATTGAAAACATTAAATGTAAGAACATAAAGATGTTACTCTCCAAACCTTTTTTCATTTATGAAAATTTTCTTCTGGGTTCATTTTTTTTATTTCTTTTTACAAAATGTGTTTTTTTTAATATCTATTTATAAAACATTTTCTCCTCTCCACAACAATAATAATACAAAATTCAATCTGTGTGTTTTCAGCAAAAGAGTGTTTTTGAGTTTGCATCATTCCTGTCTCTGCAATGTGTTTTTGCACCTGTTGGTCATTATAGGCAGGACTATGGGGAGCCATCTATTACATTACCCAGTGTTTTCAAAAGTACACACATTTGTTACTTAAGAAGTATAGATACTGCAGTTTAAAAACACTCTGGTAAAAGGTGAAGTATAGACTTGACCTCTTTATTAAATTAAAAGTAAAAAAGTATGTGCTCGAAAAACTACTTAAAGTATAAAAGTATAAAGTAACCTTTAAAAAAAACAGCCAGATTCCACTATATGAATGGAAAGCTCAATTTTTCAACTATTTCGAAAAATTCTTTGATAGAGCCAAGGATGAGGGAGGTCTTGTTGGTCTCCCTCTCCATCTCCCAATATCATCTCGCCTGTGTCCAACCTTTGAGACATTTCTACTTCTTTTTCTGAATCCGACATTGTAGCACGGCATAGACAATTCACGTTTGCAGTTTGAAGAACACCTGCTTGCTTCTGATGATTTCCTTTAGCTAACCAATGAGTGTTTGCCTTATATGACTCATCCAATTACACTAGTTTTCACTAGATGTGGATGGCACCAATGATCTGCATTGGACGGGGCACATGATGTGAAATAGATATTTATAAACATTAAACCAGGGGTAACCAATTAAAAATCAGTAACAACAGATCGGTAATTACAAATTAGAGCATAATTCTTATATATTTCAAAAAACGAACACCGTTTATTTAAAAGATTGAATGCAAACTACTATTGGTCCTTCAACAGACCAGGAAGCAGATTTCTCATCTCCATATGCTGAATGCTGATGGTGATTTTTTAAATAATACATATTAAATAAGCATTAATTTCTGTATGTTTTGCTCCTACGAATTGAATGATAATATCGTGCATGCTCTCCTAAAGCTTAGAGGATAAGTCGGAGCCCAGCAATAAGGGAGGAACAGCGGAGGCTGTAGGCTTTGCTTTGCACAGGCAGTCTTGAGCACCTGTTTTAAAAGTTTAAGGAAAAGAAAGTACAGATACTTATGTGAAAATGCAATGAGTAGAAGTCAGAAGTAGGAAGAAAAATAAGTAATGGAGTAAAGTATGAATACCTGAAAAGTGTATTTAAGTACACTAACAAAGTATTTATACTTCATTAATTACCTTATACCTGTCTTGTGGATTCCAGACACTGTATATGGTTTACCAGGTCTGCCACTTAGCCACAAAAACTCCCTGGTTAAGAACAATCCACTCTTTGAATTAATTAGCAATTGATATAACAGTCAGTAAATTTTAGATCATGAGATTAAAAATATTTTGATCGATCGATTGATTACAGTTCCTCATAATTCTCAACACTAACACATTACATGACTAAGGGGTGTAGCCTCTTTGGAGGCCAGCAGTTTGGACATTTGGAATCAGTTCAAAGTGTCATGTACTCTTGCTCACTAAGAAATAATTAAATATTAATAGGGGTGTACTGACTTTTGAGAGATATTTGAAATTGCTTTATCAACTCGTTTTTTTTGTTTTTTTGTTTCTTTAAGGAGTTACAGCAAATGTTAATAAGAAAACACATTTTCTCACTAAGCAAATCCACTGAACTCTTCTTCCCACTCTGGGATCGATACTTACCAATACTCTGGGATTATCGTTAGCCAAAAGTTCCCCTTGTGGATTCCTGCTCTTTCAATCAGGTAGTAATTAATTATTTAGAGTGTGCACAATCTATCAACAGACCCAAACACCATTGATTGCTGAGGCTCAGGGGCACATAAAAACTGCCATTCGGCCCAACATATGAAATGTTGCTTCATCTGCAGCCTTGAATGACTGTTTCTTGAAAGAGAAAGTGATTTGCTACATCAGTTAGCTGTAAGAAAGATCAGTGGTTTGAATCAGTCAGGCATGACAGTATACGTAGAGTCCCTGTTTTACTCTAAAGAAAGAAAGTTTTGTTTTGGAGAATCTTAACAGTGATGGGATTTCCTTATTTTTCCTCAGAGAGCTGCACTGGCCAGGACCTGGCTGACCTGGGCGATCGCCTTAGAGACTGGTTCCAGCTTCTTCATGGAAATGCAAAGCAGAACAACTCTGGCAAGCTGGGCGCTTCCTCAGGTTAGAAACCTATTCAGTGAAGTTACACCATGCATTGAAAGCAGAACACAGATTTTAGTGATGTGTGTGTTATTTCTGACAGTGCTAGAAAAAAGCCTGGTAGCCAGCTGCAAAGACTCCATTGGCTGGATGTTTTCTAAACTGGACACCAACAGTGACCTGTATCTGGACCAGGCTGAGCTGGCTGCCATTAATTTGGACAAGTATGAGATCTGCATCCGTCCCTTCTTCAACTCCTGTGACAGCTACAAAGATGGGAAGGTCTCCACAGCAGAATGGTGTCTCTGCTTCTGGAGAGAAAGTGAGTAAAGTTAGAGACTGAGCAGAGAGTGTTTTCCTTAGTGTGACACAAGGAAAAGGTTGGAATCACTATAAATTGTTGGAAGAGATACATAAAAACTAATTACTTAAAAAAAAACACTGTTAACATTGTAATAGGACAATAGCTTGATAATGAATAAAAAGTATGATACTTTAAGTTTTCCTATTTTATCCTATTTTATTATGACCACAAACATATTTTACTCTCCCTTGAAAAATATTAAGGGGCTCAAATTCATTTTAGAAGGCATAGCATATTATATTTATTGAAATATTTATGTTTTAATTCGTATGATAAATTTCACTGAACTTCAGCATTAAAATAATCCAACCTACAGCCATTTTACGAGTTTTGCCATTTTTCCTTATTGCTCGATTGTTTGATATTCATATACAGCTCTGACTAGAAAACCTGTCATGATTAGAAGTTCAAATCCAGGCAGCAGCAGTCCTGATTGATTTTTTTTACTAAGTCCCTGATTGCTCTCTTTGTTCTCTTTTCAATTTTTACTTTTAACATAATTTAGGACCGAACAGATCTGTCCTTTTTTTGATCGTGCAGTAGCACAGGTTGGCACATTTAATTAAGTAGAAAAGAAATCACGAAATGACGGTTCTTGCTGCCACTTTTTCCCGAATATTTCAACGACTTTACTTCAAAGTCGTCTAGTATCTCGTTTTGATTCTCATCTTTTAGAGCATTATCTGGCTTAAGGTATGACGATGCACCATATTCTTAAAATTGAATACAAAGTCAACATGCAAAATGAGGAATGTCTCCATTTGACCTTTAATTTAGCAGGCAACCTCATTTGTCTGCATTGATCAGGTGTTTAATGAGAATGCAATAGATTTAGCTGACTGCCTAATCCATTCCTTGACAGACCACTCTCAACTAATTAATAAAAATGTGTAAAACTTTTTTTTTTTTTTCTGGGATGCACCAGTCTAGGATATTTTAACCAATTTCGAATCGTCAGTTGTTGCAAAACGCTCCATTGCAGATGAAATGTTATTTTAGATGTAACTGTTTGTTAAACACAGCAATTTTTCACAAACAGAATATCTTTCTCTAACCCAAAACATCTTACAAGTGATGAGACAAAACTATTTATAATTTAAAACCCATCCGAAAGAAGTGCAACATACCAGATTTATTTATTCACAAAACAGAGCTTTCATCTTTACGCAACTATGCAGTTAAAGGGATAGTTTAGGTTTTTGGACATAAAGTTGTGTGACAGTCTCCTGTCATGAGAAATCCTTTGATAACATTTCTGTCTTTAATTTTGGTTAAAAAAAATCTTATCCTCTTGTCTTATCTCTTCTTCTTCAATAGCTGAGATGAGGGGCTGGGTCACAAGCCTGAGGAGCTGTTCGAGCTGTAGTTATATATAAACGATATTTACAGTTTAAAGGGCTAGTATATATGTTTCATCACTGATAATGACCTAATAGTTCACTTTTATAAACAGACTGAAATCAGCCTCGTTGATTAGCTGTTTCACTTATTTGTTGTTTTAGGAACTGTCTTCCAAACCTCAGCTGCAGAGTGATAGCAGCCATAAAATAGTCCAATTTGATTTCAATGTCTGACATAGCTCAGGTATGCTTTAAAGTTGTTGAAATAATCTAATAAAATACATGCATAATACTTCTAGCTTAAAAATGGTTGATTATTTGCGCCCCCGTACCATATGGGAACTACTTTTTCTCTGGTACGTTACCGCCATTTCTCATTGCAGGAGGCTCTGTGATCGTAGTAACATGGTTACATCTCAACTACAGACGGTGAACATTTTACACAGCTTCATCTCAAAACACCTCAACTATCCATTCAAACATGATTAAACTATTACTCTGTTGTCTTAGCAACCTGGGTGAACAAATCTCCAAAAATAAAACAATTTCGTTTCAGACTGAAATGTCCTTTTGAGATTATACCCCTCTAAATAGTTAGAGTTAACATGTAAAACTGTCAGTTGCATTTTATATTTGCACTGTATGATTAGCTGTCTGGATCCATTGTAGATTGGTCTTGCTTTGACTAAAATGATCAATAATATTTCTTGAGAGATTCCATTTGAATGATCAAAAGAATAAAACAGAGCAGCAGATGTGTCCCCAAATACTTGCTTTCCTAGAAGCGTCTTCCATCTTTTTTACTTCCTCTGAATTCATAATTTTAATATAATTGTGTGTTGTGTGTGTGGCCTTGTAGTGCTTGGTATGGTGCGTTCAGTGACTGTAAGGATGATTCGAATTTTAGTCTTAGGCTAGCTGATCACATTTTAGAGCCAGCCAAGCATAAGATTGACTCAAGGGGTGGCCACCTGATTTATTGGTGCATCCCTAAACATGTTTTGTTCTTCTATTTATGACTCAGACTTTTTTTTTGTAAACTTCCATAAATGCTTTTAAGGATTTTCACCCTTTGTGAGTTTGACACAAATTGTCTGTTTCTACTTCAGGTGCAGCTTGTACATGTTCTTTCAGCTAAATTTTCCCAATTACTCATGCTCAGGGATTTAAACTCAATACTTCTTAATTCAAAACGTAATTGTGAAGAAGGTTGATTTAGATAAAGTTTTAGAAGAGCCCTTTTAGGTTTCTGACTGTCATCACTTTTTGTTTGATTCTCGCAGAGCCTCCGTGCCTCGCTGAGCTGGAGAGGATCCAAGTGCAGCAGGCGGCCAAGAAGAAACATGGTAAATGCATTTTTTTTTAGCAAGATGCTGTGAAGTTTGAAAAGCGTATTAAATCCTAACTTGCATTTTAGACATAAGCTCATTGGGTAGTCATCTAAAATCCAGGAACCATACCACATTGCAATTACTCAGAAGTCACACCATTCAGGTTTTTTGCCCTCACACTCTCTACAGATTTCCAGGTGAAGTCGTGAAACAAAGAGGCTGGATATGCAGACAAGAAGCTGTAGGGGGCTAATTAAAGAGATCACAAGCACACAGCAAGGATTAGGTCCTAATCAGGCTGGAGGGGATTAGGGGGCAGTGCTGGCTTTGGAAAAGAGCAAGGTTAATGTAGACACTTGACTCCAGAAGAAACCCCACACTGAAGCATTTGCAGCAAATAACCCTCCAGCAGCTTTTGTTTTCAACTCAAACTTAGAAAACTCATACAGCTTCTTGTGTTTTTTCTTGTTATCTCAGCTGTGGGTCAGGGATGCTCTTGTTAGAAAACTTTGCTCTGAGTTTGACAAGACTGTCTTAAGGGAGGCTGAAGTGGCGGAGCTCAGTCGCAGAGGCTGTCACTACGTTTTAACATGCCACTCACACAGTATAAGGAAACACAAACTGAACAGACATACTGTGTAAGATGACATCCAACAGCACATCCATGCAAGAGTAAAATAAACCAAAAAGCTGTTGATGTCTCTGCTGGATATATTACCTGAAATACAAGTAATGTGATATTTATTCTTCAGGGCTGTAGAGCAGATCAGCATTATATTAAACTGGTGTTTTTAATTAATTATTTTACACCTGATGATGCAACATGAATAAATAAAAAAACAATGTAACAATGCAATGTAGTGAAGTTATTTTTCTTAAAAACTGAAAAGGCCTTCTCTTACCCCCATTAATCACATATTTTGTAGCTAAGACGCTTCGGGAATAATAATGTTTGAATATTTGACGTCTTATCAGAAATGTTCCCATTGTTTATTTTTTTAGGTCAGTTTCCTGTCAATGTCAGGTTGTGTGGAGATTTTGAGGACCCAAATGCAGAAAGGAGTTGGCACGGATGAGTTTGATAAAAGTGATTTAATAAAAGTCCAAGGGGAACAGAGGCAAAAATACAAAATACTAAAAACCAAACAAAAACCAATAAACACCAGGGAAAATACTTGAGGGAAGCTAGAGACTTGAAGACAACAAAACAACCCTCTACAACACACAAGAAACATGCACTGAATGAAGGCTTGGGTGCTATTTTAAGCCCATCACTATGATTATAAAGATTATTTTCACCTGTGTAGGCTCCCCAAGTTCTCCACATACAGTAGATCCTCTATAGAGAGATGCACAACTCGCACTTACCCACACACAGGAACCCTGACAGTCACAGATTTCAGCTTCATAAATATCCAAAGAACCTGCATTCATCCAACTTTAATCCCAGACCCTGTTTGGATGCATGTGTTTTGTTTTTTTTCCCAGCATTTTTATTGTCATTACGCTGTCACAAGTACAGAGCAACGAAATCAACTCTGCATTTAACCCATCTCCTTGGGGAGCAGTGGCAGTGGGCTGCCATTGTGCGGTACCCAGGGAGCAGTGTGGGGTTGCTCTTTTCTCAGAGAGTGGTAGTCTGTGGGGTTCGACCTCAGTGCTATGGGTCCTTCTTGCCTAAGGACCCATTGCTGATTCCCCCCAGCATTCCACTAGGCCACCACTCTCCAAAGCAGGCATTAGCTTTGGGGAGTGGGTTTCAAATATTTCAAACATTTCAAATAAATCTTTCTTTGATCCATAGTGACATTGGTTCATTACTTTTTCTTATTAGATGTACACTTATTATTAATAAACTAGCTTTTTGTGTGATACCACAAGCTGCTAATATTTAGTTTGTTGTGTTTTTACTGTTTGTTGTGAAACATGATTACTTTGCAGCTTCAAAAATCTTATCCTTTAAATTAAACTCACTTCCCAGAGGAGATGATTGAAAACAAAGTTAGTTTTTGAAAGCAGTTTATTTAATTTTTTATATTATAAAACTTAAAAGAGGAAAAAAAAAAAGATTAACCTGATTTGGCAGGAAAACAAAACCTTACTGTTGAGTCAAAAATCTATTTCAAAATGCCACCTCCAGAGGAAAGAAAATATTGGAAATGGCTATGAAAACAAACCATTAAGAGCCATTATGGTTCAAATTTACATAAACTATCTCTGTATATAGTAAAACCAGTCTAACATAAACAATTCTAGCCCACAAAGATCCCTCTCCTCCAAAATGAATCGATTTAAGGTGAAATGATTACACAGCTGTGTTTTCAAACAGAACAATTATCTCACAAAAAATGTTGACTCTGATGATTAAAGAGGATTAAAAACCCAAGATAAATGACAGTCATACTAATAGTGATTGTACATAAACCTATCAGTGCCGTAGTATGTGTTACGGGGGTACATAATATGCTTGTTTTTAGGCACCTATATCCCCAGTTGTGATGAGGACGGCTACTATAGGAAGGTGCAGTGTGATCAGAGCCGAGGGGAATGCTGGTGCGTCGACCTGCATGGAGAGATGTTTGGCTCCAGAATCCAAGGAAATCCAGATTGTGGTAAGGAGGTTATTGAGATTGATCAACTTTTTTGACCTATTTTTACTCCAAACCCCAAATAACTTAAAAAAAACATTTTTTATTGCAGAATAATGCTAATGATCTTATTTTTTATAGAATCAGTCTTATTGATAAAAAGTTCCATAAAATCGTTACTAGTAAGAGCAGGTGGGATGGTTCAACAGAGCTATGGCTCTGGGTGAGTTTGGCAACTGTATTAAAAAGATATCTTGGGTTATTCTTACTCTCCTCTGTTAATTAGGAGAAATATGCTGCTCTAGCTTTACAAAGGGTCATCTTATACAACAGAAAATTATTTTTCCAGACTAGGTATGATTCCCATAGGCATGTAGAGCGCCATTTTCTTTCCAGTTTAATGGCATTTTGCTTCTAAGTGCACAGATCTGCATTAAACCAGGGAGCCAGCTTTCTATTTTTAAATCTCTTCCTTTTTCAAAGGGGGTACATTGTCTAAGGCAGTACCCAAAGAACTAGCAACCCCATCAACAAAATCATCAACCTGTGTGTTGCAATAAACTAAACTGTGAAACCCCACAGGAACAACAGGGCTAGGGTGGGGAAAAAACTGTAGCATAATCTATAACTTTTGGAGTCTAACAAGTATATTGTAAAAGTTTCACCTCAATAACAGGTCATATCTTTGGACTAAACCTTGACCTTAAATGTGCTGCTGGAGGCAACGCTTAGAAAAATCAAAACTTTCGGCAAATTAAATCCTAATACTTATTTCATCAACCTATTCCAGATGATGTAGCTGGATATTCAGGAGACTTTGGTAGCGGAGTTGGATGGGAAGATGAAGAGGAGAAGGAGGCAGAGGAAAACGGCGAGGAAGCAGAGGAGGAGGAAGAGGAGGAAGGCGAGGCGGATGACGGAGGCTACATCTGGTAGAACTGTCTCACCCTGAACAGAGAGCACAGCAGCTGGTCTACAACTCTACAGGCGTGGCTCTCACCTAAAAGAGGGAATTCTGGAATAAAACTGGAGAGGAAGGGGATTGTTATTCTGTTATAGGAGGATGAGCTGTTATTTTTCTTTATTAGATATGTGTAATGGCTTCAACCTTTTCTCAGATTTTTTTTTAACTAGAGATTTGTGTTTTACTGTCCTGTAAAAAAGGGTAGCCACTGACTTTTGCGCCATCAGTAAGTAAAGTCCGTAAAAATTTGTATCTTGTACTATCACCATCTATGCATAGAGAGATTATAAGTAATTTTGTATCGTGTAAACAGTTGGTTACATATTAAAGTTGCCCTGCCACTGGAACAAAGAGAGACTTTGGTACATACAAACAGTTTGACACTTTGGGAGATAAGCTTAATTGTTTTCTTAAAAATGTATTGATGAGATGAACACTACCACTCTGGTAAATAGGAGGGGCTAAGATATAAAAGGCTTAGCTTTGTGTAAAGCTTGTCTAAAAGAGGTTTGAATAAGACATTGGGAATGTTATGTGTGTACCTACACAAAAGGTGAAAATGTTCCTGTAAATGTGAATTTAAAAATGATTTTTGTTTTTACACTTATATAATAATTGAATAAGAAAGGATGGAGGGTAGGTGAAATTCATTTAATTTCATTATATTACAGGCCCATCTGATTCAGCACTACTGAAACACTAATCAATGAAGTAAATAACATTGATTTACCACATATCCTCTTAAACGTAGTTGCAGTCCAATTAAAACATCCTCTGTCTGCTCTTGTAACAGCTTCCTTCATCAATGCAAAGTCTGCTTACTTAAGGTTTCTTCCTTAGTGGTTTCACTGTCAATATTTAGATGCTACGCTACGCGACCAACCCAACCACAACAGGGCCATGTACTGTGAATTGCTAAAGTATTCATACCCTTAAAACCTTCACACCATTTGGGAGTTTGCAAGCGATGATGTCAATGTAACTTTGGAGGATTTTAATTTTATAATATGGACAAACACAAATTAGTAAATCATTGTGTAGGCCAATAAAATTATAGGCTATATCTTTGTTTTTTAAGTATTCTTTCTTACAAAATAAACTGATTAAAGTGTGGATGCCTTGCAGTGGAGTTCAGCACCCAGTTCACTACATTTTGCAGCAGCACAGCTCTCTTTTCAGGTATGTCCCTCCAACGTTTGAGTATCTGTCCATGTATTCCTCATTCCTTGTTGTAAGGTAGTTATACCTCCATCAGATTGGATGTGCAGCATCTCATCTGGATTTAGGTCGGTACTTTAACTGGGCCATTGTAAACATACGAACATGCCGTTAATTAAGAAACTATATTGTAGCCATGGATGCACTGCTATGGTCACCATCCTGCTGGAAGGTAAACATTCCCATGTAAGCCTAAAAGTGTTTTCCTTCCCTGCAACTTTATTCCTTTTCTGTCTGCTGTGATATTTTGCCTCTCAAAGCACTATTTATACTGAGATTAAATTACACACAGCTTGACCCAATTTACTTATCAGGTGATTTCTAAAGGCTGGTGGACTTTCATTTTTGTATGGGTACCAAAATAAAGGGGTCTCAGTACAAATTAAGACCAGTTTTTACAGTTTTATTTGAGAACAGATTTGGAAAACTATCACTTACCCTCCAATTTTGTTAATCTGTTACATTTAATCCCCATACATGCATAATAGTTTGTGATTGTAACATCACAGTATTTTGAAAAAATTAAAGAATGCCTTTAAATTACGCAAGTAATGTTTATCCCTTTGAGATAAAGCTAGACCATCACAGGTGGTTTTATTATTTTTTATAGAGCTAGTTGTTCCTGTTTATTAAACATTGAAATGCTAAGAAGCAGTGCATCACAGGGGCCAGTTAGATTGATAAATGTTTATACATATATTGTCTTAATGGTTTTAAATATTAATCTGTGGAGTCTGGAGCTTAAAGAAGAACATTTTAGGACATGTGAAATGTAAAGGTATAGTGGAGGATTTTCGTGAATTTTTGAAAAGACCCGCCCGCTGCACTTTAAAACAAAATATGCACATGCACAACCCTGTAGGGAACACCTTTTAAATGCATGCAAGAGCATGCAGGAGACCATTTCTCCTCATGCACACTCTTTTTAAAAGTTGCTGTTTGCATCACTTATACAAGCTTACTTTCCAAAAGAAGATTTGCCATTTTGACACCATATCAGAATCACCACCGGTAAGTGAAAATGGGGACAAGCACGCAGGACAGCCTTACATAAACATATTACCAGAATGATTGACAATTAGGAGGACCACTTATTTTGATGATTCACTAGGAAAAAGAACATCCTCCACTTTACCTTTAAGAAGTGTATGGTTGTTTAGCTTCCCATGTTTCGGACATAGCAGCCTTACAGAAACTTTATCTACCAGCAGGAAATAATAACTGGTATTTTTCTGCATGCAAGAGCAGCAAACCAACCTGAATGCAATGCGGCAAAGCAAAATCTGAAACTGGATGATTAAAAAGCAGGATTATAACCTACCAGTGTTTGCAAAATGACAAGTCGCAGAAAAGCTGTGGCTCTCTGCTTGAAGTTTGGAATAGAATAAGTAATTACCACTCTGGAAATGTTGTGACCCCATATGTGAATCCTAAAAACATCTCCAGCTAATGGCCATTGAATGATACAATCAATAGTCCCAAGAGACATTGAATTTAAATTTCTGAGTAAATAAAACATAGAAAAAAATAGAAGAGCACCTGTTCGTGATGTTGTATGAGGAAGCAAACTGTTGCATACAAATTTACTGCTCATTTTGTAAATGTTGCTGATCAGCTTTGTTTTCTCCAGTTTATATTCAAAAGGCCAGAAAGTTGTGAGTTTACAAAATGTAAGCAGTGGCTTTGTTCATCTTTGATATTTATATTTGACTAAATTGTCAAACTGTGTCTTTATAGCGGTTCAGTAACATACTTTAGAACTCAATATGTATATACATCCATTGTAGAATGTGCAAGTTTAGAGGATTTCAGGTTGCTTTGGTTGCAGATTACTATTAATTGGATGCACCACAACACAAAGCTGTTGAAAGTGTATTTTGTTTCTGAATTAAATGGATACACACAGCTTCCTGCAGTCCTACTTTACATTTCTAGTTGAAAGATGAAACTGCAACCAATAAAAGCTCCTGTTCTTGACGTACACGTCAAAGATTGTGCCCAAGTTGTTATTTTGTTTTTTCGAGTTTGCAACTTAAATTTCTGGATTTAGTGTTTGTACAGAAAAAAAAGTGCATTACTTGAAGTTCTTTGTGTTTACTTGAATTTGCAATGTAGTTTTTTTTCTATGAGAATATTGTTGCTATGTCTTTGTTCATGCTATCAGCAGGGCAGATGCTTGTTTTTAGTATTGCATGTTAGTAAGAATGTACTTCTATGCTGAGCACTTTACAAATAAAGGCACTGGGGCCAAGCAGAGCGATGACATCAAGCTTTTTTTTTTTCTTGCTTTAGAGAATAAAACAAATACTTTGGTTAGAATTTAGGAATTAAATAATATATATGTCTTTACATTTCAACAAATTTTATTGGAATAATGAAACATTTCCTGGAATAAAAAAAAAAGAAATCTTGTACTTTTAAGAGAAAATTGCACAGTCAGTGAAGATGAGTTTATATTCCAGAAATAAACTTTTTAATAGAGTGATTAGATCCATTGTGTGAGCTCCTACTTTAACTAAAAATAATTTGCATTATCTCATTTGTGATGATAGAAAACAATATAGTCCATCTGAAAGAGGGACAACTTAGTACCAGAATATGATGAGCAACAAAAGGAAGGTATAGATACCCAAAAATGACAAAAACACCAGAAAAATAAGTTGGATATAAAATAAAATTTTATTATATTAAATCCCTTACAAGAATTACATCTCTTATTCATTTTGTGAAATACACTCTCTGTTTAGTCATTAAGCATTTTACTTTTGCCAAACTATTTATTATAATACTAGAGAAATAAAAACATCCATCCCTTTTAATGCCAACTGAAAGCTGGCTGCTGTACAAGAATTAACATCTGTATTATACATGATTTACAGTAGTTCAGCAACACAAAGTAAACTTTCCAACCAAACAGAATAAGACTTAACACCCGTATTCTGTATAAAAATGTTTGTATGTTTTACTTATTTGCATCATTATTACACCTAACATTCCAAAGGTTAGCTTGCCTATAAAATATGGAGAAAATGGTTAGATTCAAAGATCAAATATTCTTTCTTTAGGTTTTGTAGGACAGAGACTAACACAGTTTTTTTATCCATAGAAACTCCTACACAAAAAAAATAAATAACCGACCACAACACTCATTTTTATTCATTTTCTAAAGTGCACTCTCATATCTTTTCAGATAATCAAAAAGTACATTAGAAGCACTAAAAATTAAATGCTACTTGCGCATAAAAATATTGCTAACCATTAAGTTTCACTTTAAATTGGATATAAGTCTGAGCTTAATTAAAGAAAGACCATAACTATCGGGAAGAACAGAAACGGCTGCAGTTAATGCTGCACTTAATACGAACAAATGGAAAATAATAACGGATGGAGAATTAATTATAGCCTTTGACTTACTTTCAGGGTTAAGTCATCTCTGCTACAATACTGCTGGCTATTCATGTTATTGCTTTCTTACATTTCCAGAAGTCATTCAAACTTACAAAATTCAGATATTATGAATAAAATAATTCAATAAATAAATAATTTCTCAGGGATGTTGCTATAGAGACAAACAATAATGAAACTATGCACCTTACCAGTTAAATTAAACATCTTTTGATTTTTTTTACATTTGTAAGTGAGCATTCAAAAAATTGTGAATGACCCCTTAGGGACATACTCTATATGAGGCATTAATAATAATGCTTCATTGAACCTGTCTGTTTACTTTTTCACATTTTAAAGGGAAGTCATCGTTAGTGATGTTATAGTGATGCTATAAAAAAAGCCATTAATTTTTGTTTTCAAATCACAAAATAAATGTTTCAAAGTAAAATGTTTTGAAAGAAAAGAAAGACAGAAATCATAGCGGTTCAAGTGATTATGCTTTTAGCTGTAACCAATATACATATTGGTTTCCATATGGCTGATTTTTCAGATAAAAGTGACTTATGTACGTAAAAGAATTTTTATAAAGTGCAATGCTCAATATTGTTTTTTTATTCTATTATTAAATATATTATTAAATAGCATCAAATTTTTATATTTATTGGTCAATTCTTTGAACAGAACACATCGATAATACTCCATTAGCAGGTTTCTTAGTCCGCATGAATAGAATATCACCGTTATATTTTCAAACTGGTAGCTTGAAAAAAACAACTATAACTCTTTGACTCTCTTTGTGGTAACTTGATGGATGATGATATATGTATTTAAGTGTTAGTAGTAATCAACTTGTAACTGTGGAAGCCTAAATAAATAAATAAAAATAAATAAATAAATGAAAGGATTCTCATTGATAAGCTTTTTAATTTGAATCCTCCAATAGTGCTTCTGTTTGTTCACCCTCATATCTGGTTTGTTGAGGGGATTTAGTGTTATTCTGGTTTGGTGCTCAGTAAGAAAAAAGAAATCTTGTTGGAATCCAATCCATCTCTCTGTTAATCCCCAAGAAATTAGCATACATATTTGGCTTTGTGCTTTGGAGGTAGCGGCTGCGCATCATCAGATCAAAATTAATCCTGTCTTTCCTTATTTGCAGTAGAACTTGTAAAAAATCTAATCTAAATCCCAGCCATATCTGTCAGAAATCAGACAAGCTTTAAGCTACCCTAAACGAGTCCTTGTGTGTCGTCATTCACTCACTAATACATTTATAAATCAAGCAGCTGATGCGTTAAACAAATAATCCAAGTCAGCAGAATATAAATCTACAATCCTACAGATGGTTTATGTATTCTAATTAAGTACTTAACACGCCGTGCAACTTTCTCACATTATTAAAGCAGTTTTTGTTTGCATAGAAAAATTGAAATGTTTAACACGTTTTTTTCTTTCCAAGATTATAATTTTCATTGGTTGATAATCTTTAGATTTTCTTAACTTATCCTCTCAGTCAATGTATTGTGATAGCCATCTAAAGCCTTCCCCGTAGCCTTGTTTCTTCAAAACGCTGCACATGAATATCTCCAGCGGGCGAACGCTCTGGTCATTCACAGAGAGGTTTCCCTGTTGATAGGAAACAGAATAAATAGAGATTCTCCTCAGTCTGTAAGTGAAACTCTTAAAGTATACCTACCTTTCCGGTCACCTGGCCATCTAAACCAAAAGCTCCTCTCAGTGCTCCTTCACTGACGGCCTCTGGGCGGTCGATTTTATTACCCAGCACCAATACTGGTACACCAGCTATGGTTTCATCTGAAAGGAGAGCCTAAAGGATCACAGAACCAGCAGTGTAGTTATTTTAAATCAATCATAGCAAACATCCAGGAGCACTTAGTGCTCACATCTAGAGATGTACACTCCACTTTCAACACTTAACACACACTTTCAACTCACATCGAGTTCAGTCTTTGATTCTGCGAGTCTTTCATGATCAGCAGCATCAACAAGAAAAACAATCCCATTCACAGCTGGCAGGTAGTTCTTCCAAACTCTGCGAGCTTTAAATGAAGAGAAAACTCTTTGTCATTTCGTCTTCCTCCCAGCGATCAACACGACAGTCAAATTATACATCAGTCAACATTGATTGGATCTTTTAACACTTCAGAATAATAATCATAAGTATTTAACCTGAAGCTATGACAGATTATTCTTTAAATCAGAATAACAAACGATGCCAAACCATAATATTTGACAACATAAGTAGTTCTTTGACTGGACTTGGTGACTTTAGGACAGGAATATCTTTGGATTGGAATGATTGAAGCTCTGCCTAGATGTTTAAGGTTGTTGTTTTTAGCCCTTTCCAACTCCCCAATCTGCTCTGACAAACTTTTCATGTTCCTGCTGAAGAAAAGCACCCCCACAATATCATACTGGCACCACCGTGTTTCAGTATGCAGACAGTGCTCAGGGTGATGTGCAATATTAACATTAAAAATAGCTTTTCCTGGTTCCCTTCACTGCATATAGCTAAGTTGGCTAAAGATGCATGGGATTAAAATGAGAAAACAGCTTAATGTTATTTTTATTCAGAAAAGGAAATATAACGAAAAGTCAGATCCTTCTTTAGAATTTCAAAGGGAAAGTAAATCTTTAACAAAACTGCATTACAGTTAAAATCCGTGCATGATCATCAGCTGACTTTTTAATGACAGCAAAGCAGAGACACCAAGTGGCAGCACAAAGAACTGCAGAAACTGTCAAACCTACCATAACAATTAACATTTTCTGGACATATGTAATAAATATTATAGTGAAAACACCTCCTGGGCAGCTCTCTACGCTTGGCCAGACCAGAGCTAAATCTGCGTGGAGGATTTTAATAATGTAGCTTTTGCATTTGAACACTGCTTCAATAAAGAATGGCGACCTTCTACAGTACATGCTTATTTGGGGATAAATATATCTATACTGATCCAAAGCATAAATGGCAAAAAACAGAAACATAGAAGAGTTGGCATCAAGCTCACCTTGTACATGTCCTCCTAAATCAAATGTGGTAAATGTCATTCCACCAATTGTCAGCTCCTCTGAGGCTTTGGGTGGAAGTGAACAGATACAGATTTAATTAAATAAGAAACACGAGGCCAGGGATCACACATTTTAATATACAACACCATGCGCTCATTCCACACCTTTGTGCACAGGTTTATTAAGTTATCACTTTCTCTATGTTTTGGACCAAAGGGACGGCCTTTTTTTTTTTTTTTTCTAATAAAAATGTGTTTAATTGAAATTATTTCAGGGTTACTAAAGATCTCGTTCTGTAGATGTACTTTAGACACATTCTGCTTTTTCACTTCTATTAATTCAGTCATTTGGGTCCAGAGCCTGACAATAAAAGCTGTTTAACTCTCAGCCACTTGTTACTGACTATCTCAAAACTAACTGTTTACTTTTCTTTAACTGAACATAGGAAAAATGCTAAACTTAACAGAATGGTCAACATAATATAATATTTTAGCACTAATAAGGCAACATTTTACCCAAGCTGTTTTGTTTTTTTATCTGTACTGGTTCATGTTTTATCTATTTTTTCTGTACAGCACTTTGGTCAGCTGTGTTTGTTTTAAAAGTGCTTAACAAATGAAACTGGATTGGATTGAAAGAGATGTTTTACTTTATCCTTTATTTAATTCATTCGAATTGAACCAATGGCAAACTACAACAAGTTGCAAAACCATCTGGAAAAAACATCAACTTTGGTGTATTTTATTGGGATTTTATACAATAGACCAACACAAAATGGTGCATAATTGTGAAGTGGAAAGTAAGGGGATTTTAAAATATCCAAAAAGTGAATTTAGCTTCCTGTGTCAATACTAGGTGCAGAACAAGCTTTAACAATCGCAGCAGCAGGTTTTGACAACAAGTTAGAACTTTGCCCATCCTCTTTCATAATTTATTAGGAAGTCTTATATTTTCCAGAACTCAGATTATTAACTGGATTTAAAACTGGGCTTTGATTGGCCCATGCCAAGACATGATAATGATTTGATCTAAAAAAAAACCTATTGTAGCTCCAGCTTTATGTTTAGGGTTCTTGTTAAGCTGGGAAGTAAACCTCTGTCCTGTTCTCAGGTCTTTTGCAGAATCTAACAGGTTATCTTTCAAAATTGCCCTCAATGAATTTTCTATAAACTATGATAATTACACTGAACATAAAAAAATATGTTCTGGGTATTGCTAAGTAAATATAAACAGACAGGATGATACAGTCACCACTATATTTCACTGTGAAGACAGCAGATTTAAGATGATGTAAAGATTTTCACCATATACAGGGGTTTACACTATATACCCTCTTACAACATGTTTGCTCTGCTCCTAACATGCTTTGTAATAAACTGAACAGCTTATCGCTGTCTTTCATTCTTCCAGTCACTCCTTAATTAAAGGCAAAAGTCTTGTTTAAATATTATTCCGCTTGAACTAAAGAACTCTGAGCTCCGCTTTACATATCTAACCATATAAACCTTCACAGAGAAGCAGTTTTTAGACTTAGAATAAAATCATTTACAGGTGGATATTATTCAGAAACATTTGAAATCCAGTGGTTGCCCTGGATTTTGCCCAGGAGTATCGGGATAAATGAGGATTAATAAAAATGAATGACAAACTTCTGTTTCCTTTTTCTGCAAATCCATGTTTTCAGATCATACCACTTTATAAACATGCACAACTTAATGTTTGTCTCTGATACAGAATCCCAATTAAGCTGATTTTTTTTTTCCGGGAAGATGTAATTTCTATAAAGGCCTTCATAGGAAGGTTTTTTTTTTTTTTTATTGCTTGCACTTGCTGTTAAAACACAAGTTAAACAGTGAAATGTTAGGATTAGGTACAATGACTGGAGACAAAATAAGTTAAATTAAGTCAAAACCTAAAAAATGCCCCTCAAAAAATGTCCAGAAGCCTGGAAAAACAATGAAAAAGAAAATGGAAATATGGTCAATATCTATATTTCCGCTTTCATTTTTAATTATGTAAATTTTGGTTCTGTATAAAAAACAAATTATTAGCTCAACATTAGACAGCATATTGCGCTTGAACAAAATCCTTACTTGGATGCAATGTTGGTACATGTTGGCCAAGTCTGTCATCTTTCAACATGTGCAGGAGTGTCGTTTTACCAGCGTTATCTAGACCCAGGAAAACCAGCTTCCCAGACTTTCTGTACAAACCTATTCAGAATCACAAAAGAAAGATGTGTTATTAATTTCATGCTTCTTTCAGCTAACAGATGTTACTGCACCCTGTGCAGCTCAAAACAGTAAAAATAGTTACAATTAGAGCAAGAAGCTCTCAACAAATATATAAACCCAGTGACACAATTATATTATGTTACAACCACATTTTTTTTATTTTATTTAAATTTTAGGCTGACATGAAAAAGTGGGAGGAAACTTTACATTTCAAAAACCAACCCTAAAATATTAAAAGTGAGCAGTGTGGATTCATAGGCTGTTCTCTTCCAACCCTTAAAAGAATCCTTTCTAAAAAAAAAAAAAAAAAAAGTATTAATTAAAAGTAGTTGCTTATGCTAATTTAGAAAAGAGCTGCAGGCACAGGAGATAGATTTGTTTATAGGAAATGTATTTGTTATAAACTTCTGAATTTTGGACTGTTTGTAGAAAAAGTAGCAAAAATTGTTCAAAGGAAGCAGAAAATAAAGATCCATAGACCTTAGGTCTGCAACAGGGGGTCCATGGAGGTACTGCATGGGGGTCGCAAAAGTTTTGGTTAAATAGACATTTTTTTATATTTCCCCCGTGCAATTTTTTCCACTAATTGAAATATCTTAAAATACACATTAACATGAATTCAACACACTGTAGTAAACAGATAAATGGAGGCAGAAGATGTCTTTCAGTCATCAAGGCACACATTCAGCGACGCACAGGAGCTCTTTCAAGCTGGGCACCTTTTAATTCACAACACCTGTCCCATCAACCAGGAATCCGAATCCGAAATACTTTAATAATCCCAGGGCAAAATTACTTTCTTTACATGACTCCATCTGTAATATAGATATAGAATATAGAAGACCCCTGCCATAGACAATAGTGGATAGATGAGGAAAAAGAATTCTCTGCACATCACCTTCCAAACAAGTGTTCAAGAAAGGCTGGTAGTAGCACTTTGCCATATTATTACTAATTATTATTATTATTATTATTATTGCTTTTTTCCCCCAAGCAGGGAAAAAGAAGTAGTTGGAGTTGGAAGATAAAATTAGTTAAACACAGCACAATCCTCGATAAAAAAACCTTTAAAGGGGGAGTGGCAGTCTATTGGTTAGCTGGCATCCCCAAAGTCGGTCCTCGAGGGCCGCTGTCCTGCAGGTTTTAGAGGTTTCCCTACTTTAACACAGCTGATTATGATGATTGCAGTTGAGCAAAAGCCTGTTAATCAGCTTTCAATTAAAACCAGCTGTGCTGGAGCAGAGAAACCTCGAAAACCTGCAGGACAGCGGCCCTCGAGGACCGACTTTGGGGATGCCCGGGTTAGAGCATAGAGCTTGGAATCCTGAGATTATGAGTTCGAAACCCACTTCCACATACTGCTACTCTGGGTCCCTGAGCCAGACTCTTAACCCCACACTGCTCCTGGGGTGCCACACAATGGCAGCCCACTGGGAATGGATTAAATGCTGAGAGTGAATTTTGTTGAGGTGTAACAGTGTAATGACAATAAAAAATATTTTAAAAACACTAAAGATAACAAAAGACTAAGAGCTGGAAGATCCACAGTTAGAGCATAAATTGAATAGTTTAGATGAAAACACTTCATGTGTTAAAATGATAGTCTAAGTTAAGATCATAGATGCATAAAATAATCTGAGTTTATTAAATTTTACACTGAAGGACAAAAATTTGAAAAACTGATTTGTGTCTGATTAGAAAATATGCACCAATCATTTCGACAAAAGATCAGAAAAATATTAACTCGGATTTATTTATGGATTTGCAAAACTCACAACAGTTTGGACATTTTCATTTTCATCACCTTAAAAAGAAACCTACCAATGATTTCCCTTTTCCACTGTGTGCTAACTTCTTCATTGATATGATCACATATAATCCAAACAAAACAAATGCATTTCGTCATGAAAAATGTAAAAATAAAACATAGAAAAAGGCATATGAGCACTTATGGCAATGTTTGCCTCGTTTAGTGAGAGATAAAAACTAAAGATTCTTACCCAAGAACTGTAAAACACTGCTAAGCCCTCTGTAGATCCAGTCAAATAAAAACGACATCCTGAAGGATTCTGTCTGCAACAAAAACAACATATATATGTTAAAATTTTAATAACATCTTTGGACATTTTTGGTTGAAAACTTAAATACCCCCTCGGGCCTGCAGTGATATTAAGCGCTCTGATCAATTGGTGCATACAGGTGTGTTTATCTAGGATGTCTGTGACATAACACTGTCCACCCACACGTGTCACAAACATCGTCTAACACTTAACCTAATCAAACAATTTACTATATTTATGAATCATTCACATTAAACCTTTAGATGATCTTCGTTTGTTATTGGATACAAAAAAGCGTTTTATTAACGGTAGTTGACGCAGGTTAGCGTTACTTTGTTCGCCTTTTTATGAACGTGACGACGCTGAAAAACAAGCAACTAATTATTAGGAAATGTCAAAAGCAACAATATTTATCCATACAGCAATAGAGGTGGAAGAAATTACCGTTGTGAAGCGCTCAGCTATCGATAGTGTCAGCCGTCTCCTTGGAAACAGTCTTCTTCTTCTCCTTCTTCTTCGTTTTTATCGGTAGCTTGCATCCATCGTGTGGAGCATTACTGCCATCTTCCGGATTCCATATTAATGACCTAATTCTTAAATGCTTTGACCAGTTTAAATTCTCCCCTTTTCCAAATTAATTATTCAACTGTGACGCAATGTCTACAAATGTCAGCTCCCCAGCAAGACCTAGTTCTAATCTTAAAGACTTCCTTTGAATTTCATATCTGTTGCACCGAATAAAAACTTGTACTGTTTCTGTTGTATTACAGCCACATACACTAACCAGTGAGATGTTTCCCATCTTATAGGAGGAAATAGCCTGTTCTTATATTTTTCCCAGCATTTTATTGTCATTACACTGTCAGAGTACAGAGCAACGAAATAAAATCTCTGAATTTAACCCATCCCCTTAGGAAGCACTGGGACATTAATTTATTCTATTTATTACTACCTCTTCCCTCCAATTCCTTCCTCTATTTCTTGTTCTCTCAACAGTTTTGTATCCTATAAAAATGTCTTCCTTTTATCTCAGTATCCCACAACTTTTTACTTTCTTTAAACAATAAACTTTTGCCCTTAGATGTAGACAGCGTTATCTGTGTCTCAATATCTTTCTTTTTGAAAGCCTCCTTATCCACTTTATCTGCTCTTTTGTTTTCCAAAAATAACAGCATGAACAGGAATCCATATCATTAATATATTTTTGTTTTGTTCACATATTATATGGTGAATAAAGAGAATTTCATTCCCTCTACTAAAAAATCCATACAGAATGCTTTCAACGGAAGGTTTTAAAGATAGGAGGTTTATTGTGATTGAAGTGTTAGCTTTTTGCCAAAGGTTTGGATCAAAGCCAGAAAGTCCAATGTGGGTTTTATTAGAGTTGGTTTATTTGCTTAACTTTCCACTGGTTTATTCTATCAAAAGGGGTTGGAGAGTCCTGATAGGTCTGCATGTGTTGATAATATAATAAACATTACTTATTGAAAGGTTTAAACATTGAGAAATTGTTTTAAAACCGCTGCTGCATTAAACAGTTTAAAAATCTGATGTGTTTATTGTGCTCCTGTTTATTTGCTTTAAAAAATAACAACAATCTCTTAGGCCTTCCCGAAAACAGCTAGACTAATACTGAGATGGGTGGACTTTGTTCACTTATCAGATGATTTGGAAGCTAAATTTTAATGAGGGACATTTGACTGAAGGGGTCAGAATACATAATAAGACCAAACTTGTCAATGAGATAATCAGTGTATTATAGTACCAATCCTAAACGCATCTTGCCAAGAACATATTTTAGTTACCACATTGGATCTTTATGATTAATTGGAGCCTGCAAACAAAATCCAGAGGCTCTTATCTTTTGCTTCCATACCCTTTTACCTTCGGTTATACTTAAAATAGAACACAGATAAAATAATTTACAAGAATTTCAAAGAGACAAAAGATTAACATCTGACGTGGCAAAATGCATTTTGGATTTTAAAAAAAAGCTTTGCAGGAATAGATGTGCACTCTTTTCCAGTACAACATCCATGTTCAAATCAATAAAACACATCAAAACTGTAAATATGTTGCATAAAATAATCATGGTACTAATAATCACCACAACACAAATTGTGCAAAGGTATAGTGATATTTTATTTGTGAATTTGTCATATTTGTTAGAAAGGCTTTTTTCACAAAGGGACCAAAGAAGCATGCATCTTTTCATGTTATTATATATATATATATATATATATATATATATATATTTTTATTTATTTTTTTTTTTTATTAAGATTTTCATCGACAGATCATGAGGGAACAAAGAAGTTCACATTAAGAATAAATCATTACAATTGTTGGATTGACATTGATGCAGTAAGAAGGATCCTTTTTAAGTTCCTGGAATGGCTTTATGTTCTTATTTATCATAGTAGAACCATTTATCAACTGCAAAAAAAGGACAGTCACATTAATACAGCACAAGGAATTAGCAAAGTTTTGTTGCATCAAAAGGGTATAAAAAATAGCAAACAACCACCTGAGTTTGGAATCGGTTCTCCAGATCCAAAATCACAGGCCTGTGGAGTTCATTCAACACAATAAGAATGTTGCAAATCTTTCAGATAAAATGTAAAAAAAAAACATAGCTTACAGAGTCTAACAAAAATATACAGACTTAAAACGAACTAGTATTTTTCATATTTCTGAACAAATACATGTTCTTCATAATTATTTATTCATTTATTTGTTTCAATGGTAACACTGATCTTATGCATCTTATCATTCTAAAACGTAATGAATTCTAAAACGATGAAAAACTATATGAAATAAGAAAAATCCATTTAAGATCACTACTAGTTGTACTCATGTGTTGACTGGCCAAGCTGTAATATCTAAACTGCGTCAATCTAACACTGATTTAGTTCTCTCCATCTTCTCTTCATATCTCACTAGCTTACCTATCCATACTGAATACAAAAAGCATTCCCTTAGCATAATGCTACCACTATCATGTTCCACAGAGTGTTTTTGCTACTGTAGCACATTAGTTTTTCACATTATAAACACTTTTTCTGCATACACCATAACAAGTAAAGGGAACATGACAATTGGGAGAGCTTTTTTAAGGGGTAAACACTGATTTACTGGTTATTTTTCTCTACGAGTTTAATGTTAAATGAATTATACAAAGGTTAAAATGCACTTTTTATATTCTTCGAAGTAACACTTCTGTTCCAAAACAAGTAAAGCCACATAAGTGATTTTTTTTTTATTTTGCACGTGGGTCAATTCATAAAATATGTGTCATCATTGATTAAAGAAGGAATCATAATAAATTTCTAAGCCAAGATATTTTAAAAGTTATATATACTTACAGACTTAACCACTGCTTCAGCCTCTGCAGCAGAGCAGCAGAAGGGACTGTGAGAGACACTGGTGTTCATGCTGTTTAAACACATTGGAGAAAGTTTCTCACAAATCAGATTAAACCAAAAAAATAACTGGTACATGCAGCTCACTGTCTAAGACTTAACAGAGCCTAAAAAAGGCTTATTTGTTTAATTGAGTTAGTCTTTTTAAAACAGGAATTAATAATGATTTAATCAATGAAAGCAATCAAAAATACTCTTTAAAGCATGTGAAAATCTGAAATAAAAGCATATTGTGCACACTTTCCAAAGAGGCTTAGTTTAGAACATAAAAACAAGTATTTATAAAGGAAAAAGGTCCATACCTTTAATAATACATTATAAAATCTTTAAAATAAGATCCAACTTCTATACTTATCCTAAAAAGAAACAATATGTAATTCTGCTTTCATTCATTTTGTCATTGAAAATTTATTACAAACCCATTTTATCTGAAGCAATATTCCTTAACCAGTCCTTACAGGAGAATTTTCGAGTTCACTAACTGCATATTTACCTGCTGTGATTATATTTTAATTTAACACAGTTTAAGGAGTTTTAAAACATTTCTGAAACTTTAAAGCATCTAATTAAGCAAAACATGAAACAGTTGGGTATACTTAGCTCATTTTAAAGCCCTTTTATTATGAATAAAAACTTACTAATGGCTTAATTTTTTATTTATTTTTTTTACAAATGCAGATGGAATAACCACAGAGGTATAAAATAACTACATAGAGGGAGAACATGTGTCGAACATTAAAACATTAAAAATTTGCTATCATTAACTGCTGCAATGAAGTTGATTTTCTAAAGGAAAATCATTGATTAAATATTGTTTAGGTTCTTGAAAAATTTACTGCAAATGAGAGTTTTTAATTAGTTTCAATCTAAATTCCACATATCAATATCAAACCAAATTTTGGCTATTCTCTTTTTGTGAACAAGATTGTGGTTTGTGTCATCTTCAAACAGTAGAATCTGCCGCAGTTTGGAGACAAATGCTATAACATCATTCACTGCACTGAGCAACATAAACAGGAAGAGAAAAAAAGGCCACTAACCAGTTTAAGCCTCCAGCATCACTCTTTTTAGTTATCAGTGCTTTCCAAAACTCATGTGTACTTTTCACTGTTTGAATGGCAAAGTCCTGAAAAACAAAAAAAAAAAAAAAAACTTTTTTCTATTCACTTACAAAGTTCCAAATAATGTCTAACATTTTCAACAAAGTGAGGAACATCTAAAAGTGCATACCCTATCTTTGAAGTCCCCATTGAAAGCAAACTGGTTCTCAGGTTTTCCATCGGGGACTTTGTATCGTCTGAACCAATCAACAGTTGCTTCCAGATATCCTGGCTTAAGTCGCCTTACGTCGTTAATATCTGCAACCCAAATCCCCAACAAAAAGTATGCTGTATAAGGTGTACTACGGTAACCATCAAAGGCAGGTTGCTCCTACCGTTAAAGTCGCCTGCCTCTGGGTCCTCAGTATTGATAACGATGACCTTCCAGTCGGTTTCACCCTCATCGATCAAAGCCAGGGTTCCCAACACCTTCACTTTGATTATTTCTCCACGAGAGCAAACCTGAAAGCATCAGTCACACCTCTGTGGAGGGATGCTAAGTGTTTGATCCATAGGAGCCTCTTGAGCAGTTTGAAGTACCTTGTTTCCAATGTCACAGATATCAATGGGATCGTTATCTCCGCAGCATCCTGTGTCGCTATCCTTGTGGTTGGGATCTTCCCAGGTCTGATTAAAAATAAGATCAAATGGTAACAGATTTAACAAATTGATTTATTCATTTTTTTTCTGTATGCAGACAGAGATTATCTTGCCTGTGGAATAGCTCCATAATTCCAGATATAACCTTTGTGGGGAAACACGTTGGCTACAAAACGAAGGTTTCCCTTCTTCACATCCTGCTTTAGTGGATTAAGAGGATCCCCCGTTGCTATCTGAGAAAAATAAACATAAAGCGCCCAAAAAAACAAAGTAAATGACTGCATTAACTGAAAAAAGGAAAGGATTTTTACAATGAGCATAATCGTGGAGTTCTGTTTTTGTTTTTCCTTTCTATAGAATTTATGCCTGGCCTGGCGTTTGGCTGTGTTTCTAACCAGGCAGTCAGAAAAGGTGCATACTCTGCCATAACTTTAAGGGTTATTATTGATTTCATGGTTGTATTCATTGAAAGATTAAAATGTTGTTAACTTTGAAAACTTTCTTTCTTGTTTTGTTCCAGAGAAAGTACTCCTAGTTTAGTAGTTAGTAGTGTGATTCTTTTATATAAGCTCCTCAGAAAGCTGTTTTTGTTTTCTGTTTTTGCATTGCATTTAACTGCAGTGCATTAAAATTACAACCAAATTGGAGTATAGCTAATTGGATCAGAATCTTTGCATAGATGCTATTCACTGGATTATTTCACACTAAACAGGACTAAACTGTATTCTATAAATAAGGAGTATTAAGACTAGATTGTTTTTTGAAAGTGGCTTGAAGTTAAATTTGCTCTTAATAAAAAAAAAAAATAACTAAATAACTGGTTAAAGTGTAAAAACAAAAATGTACCTCCATCTTTGCATTTGTCCATCTTGGAACTTCTATAATGGCATGAAAAATGTTCTGCGAAGAGATGTGGAAACACTTTTCGTTAAACAAATGGTCCATTCTCTAAGCTCTTTTGTTGATTGAAAAATATATCAGATTAAAATCTAAAACAAGGACTACCTGCAGGGGTAAATTAAGCAGAAAATATCACTTGAAAAGGGGGATAAACTACATAGGACATAAAAACAATGTTTAAAAAAGCAGTTGGTTCCATATAATTAGCCCTTTTGAATTGATTCCTGTTCTACTTATTTGTTTTTTTCCAAAAAAAAAAAAACCCTGATTCAGTATTGAAATATAGTTCAGTCAGCAGTAACTAAAATTCCTAAGAGCTAAAGCCGAAAGAGAACTAATCCAAACATGTCCTTAGTATAGATGGTTCATGTTTTCAAACCGTTAAACTACTCACCTCTGCTTCGTTTGCATAGATGGGCACATCATGAAAGGGAGAGATGTATTTACCATCTGAGTTCTCTGGGAAAGGAGCAGAAATTTTTTTTTCTTTTAGCTTTAAAGAACAAAGCCCTGGTTCATCTTTCCACAACAATCTGTATTTCACCTAAAGAAACAGTTATAAAACAGGTATAAAACTACAGTTTATAAAACTACAGTAAGTTTAAAGAGATTCAGAGTAAACGCTTAGCTTACTGAAGAAAACTCTGTAGTCCTGGGTGTTTGGCCTTCCCCTCTCTTCAATGGAAAAGCTCATGTTGGTTTAAATCTCTCTCCCTGTGCCTTTCCACTTGTTCAACAAGATTAAGCTGCTTCTAACTCTCAGGCAAAACCAGGCGAGTGGACATGCGCATTGATTGGTAATACCCACAACTACCCGTATAAAAGAGAGAGCTGCTGTGTGACATGTTCAGAAAGCAAACATGTGAACATGTTAAACTCAGCTTTTTCTGTCTGCCCCAGTCCCCCATTATGCAGCTACAGTCTTACTGTGTGAATCAGAGATGTGGATTATACTCAGAGGCTAATCCTGCTAAAGCAGACACGTGCATTCTGAATTATTAATGCAAAGATTCTACCTTCATTTGTCATGCTTTTCCTCTCTTTCAAGCTGTGACTCTTAACAAGTATTTACAGAAACACACAGATGGAGCTGACTGGTGTAAGCTGTAAACCGATTAACAAGACGGTAATAGGTGCTGTTACCACGGTGACCTCTTACCTTTCAAGTTTTAGTGAAACATCTTCATGGGGTAACAAAGAAAATTATATATATTATGTACATAAATATATTTATATACATTTATACAGATAGTCTGCTCATTGGTGAATTAAATTAGGAAAATTTTAAAGAAAAGGACCTGGTAAACAAATCTTTTTTTAATATATAGAAAGAGAACCCTTTGCAGTTATTGCCAGTCCTGCTAAAGATATATCACTCATCACAATTTCTATTCTAGTAAGATGACCTTTGACCCCAAGATCTGTTTTCAGTTGATTTCCTTTCTAAAGCGATAACATGAATACAATCTTCATTCATATATTGCATATTTAACCCACAAGAACAACTGAAATAGAAGGAAGTTAGTTATAGTTACATAATAAGTAGCAGCGCTCCAAGTACAAATGGAGAATAAGGTCTTAATTAATATATACACAAATATATGAAAAAAATGAATCTATTTCAGAAGGTTTGGTTTATTTTAATACTTTAAAAGTAATAAATAAAAAAGACACGTTTTTATACATTTGAGAATCCCTGTGAAACAGAAAACTGACACTACCCCTCAAAAGGCCAAAACTAATCTTTCTGCATGCGTCTTTTTTTCCCCAACACACTCCTTCCAAGCATTTTAAAGCCCTCAAATTCATTCCACTTAAGTAGTTAAAGGTACACAGCATACAGGGTGTAAAAATGTAATATAGTCCATCACTCTGTCGTTATCAAGATTTCAAAGTTGTATGGAGATTGAAGAGCAGACTGAGTGCTGGAGCTCAGAGGGTTGGACTTTACGTTGAGCCATTTCAGGGCTGGCATGGCACACAACTTCTCCAAAGGCAATTCTGTTGGGAAATTTTCACCAAGAAGAGGTTTAAAACAAACAATACTACAAAGAAACAAAGTTTTTTTTTATGTTTAAACATGTTATTACCAGTGATGCTATTTCCTTCAAGATCAATCCTCTCAAGTGTGGCTATTTCAGTGAGCTTCTCAGGGAAAAATGAGAAGTTATTATTAGCCAGATTGATGCTTGTTATATGCTCCATTTCCCCGACCTTGTCTGGCAGCTTGGTAAGAACGTTGTCTTGCAAGTCAAGTTCTGTAAGACAAGTCAAAGACAATTCAATTGTGAAATCTTTCAGTGCAGATCTGTTTTATTTGCCAGAGAATTTCTGGAACAAACATACGGTGGCCAAGAGGTGCAAAATCAACGTGCACACATGAGTTTACAATAAATCCAGTAGCCCATGCAATTAAAAAATTGAGAGTAGAAAATACAATGTTTAAGACCAACAATCACAAAATACATGCAAAATACATGCATGCATGTATTTTGCATGCAACAACTGCAAGTTGAGAAAAGTTGCAAACTATGCCAATGACTGTCTCCCCCTTGTAGTGTGAAGCACTTTCCTCAATTTGCACTTATTTTTGCTGCTTGTATAAATTTTCCGTTGCATCTTTTGTGTGTTAGCATTATTAAAGCATTTACAGTGGGTTTTTGTGTTTGCAGCAGGCTTTCACTTTGCTTCTCTATTTTATCTTTTGCAGTATTTTTCTTTGCATGCGTTTTTTGTGTTTGTCTTAGCATTATGTCTGTGTTTGCTAGTCTAAATCGTGCATTAACACAAGGTTTGCACCCCTCCACCACCGTATGAACAGTTTACGAAAAAAAAGTATCAAAAAAAAGTATAATCAATTATACTGAATTCATGATTCAAATTGTACCGTGGTGTTTTATTCATCCTTACCTCTGAGCTGTGTAAAAGCTGAAAAAAAATTGCTTGAGATGGCCTTCAATTTATTGTTAGCCAAGGTTATGATGTAGATGTTTTCTAAGACAGTCGCCAGGACCTTGAACACACCATCTGGGAAGGAAATGAGCTGGCAGTTGGATAGATCTGCCGTAAAGGGGAACGATGCATAAGATTATCCAGTATCAAGAAAGGAATTAAATATTGTATGCCAAAAAGCATAAACACTCTATCTACAGATAGTTTAGCACTTTATTCAAGCCTCTGCCTCCATCTACTGGCAACACTTGGAACAGCTACAAGAACATACACTTGATTTCAGATAGAAAAGGTGGAAAGAACAAATAAAAAGAATATATAAGGATGCCTCACCCAGGGTATCTTTGCCTTCCTCTACTGTTGCATTAACCCTTCGGGCCACATTTGCCACTGCTTCAGCCATCGTTCTGCTGTAACCATTCAAACTGACAGGTGTCAAACAGAAGCAACATCATTTATCATCATCAATATTAATACAAATACATATATATCCCACATATGGGGGTCTTTTTTTTTTGAGCCCTCTCTACCCTGTGTTTGGATTTTTGTGGCGCATTTTTTTTTTTTTTTCTTTTTTTTTGAGATATACGTGTATATTATACAGAGTGTATGTGTCTATATCATATATTTTAAAAGTGTGTGAAATTTTGGGAGGCGCGAAGCTTTTATTGTGTCTCCAGCGCCTTTTTATTTTGTTCTAGAGCGCAAGAGAAAAAGATATAAAAGGTGGGTTCCCTTTTTTATTCCTTCCCACGTTTTGTTTTTGGAAAATTTTTTTTTTTTCCATTATTTTTTCGGGAAAAAAAAGAAAAAAAGGGTTACTGCCCCAATTTTTTGTCTTCTTTTCATTGCCTTGTTTTGTTTTTTTCTTTTTTATTGTTTTTTTTTTGTTTTCTTTTCTTTTCTGTTCTGATTTGTTTTGTTCATCAACCCCAACAAAAGAAATGCAATGTTGTTTTACATTTGTTCTTGCTTTTGGTTTTCTGAACATTTTATACCCTCTGAGATCATAAGCACCATCCCTGATCAAAAACAGACCCTGAATATGTACTGGCAACAAATTATTTTTTACTTTGTACATAAACTGAGCGGTCTTGAAGTCAAACAAATCTTTAAATTTTGATATTTTTAAATGTACAAAAAGTTGGTTTGTATGCTCTCTATAATCTGCTTTATTTACAATACGAATAGCTCTCTTTTGAATTGTGAACAATGGGTTTAAATTAGTTATGTGATTCCACACTTCAATACAGTACATCAGGTAAAGCAAAACTTGCCAATGTTTTAGATATCTTTGATCTGATATAATCAATATGTGTTTTCCAACCTAACTTATTTTGTATTGTTACCCCAAGAAATTTTACACCACTTACTCTTTCGATATCTGTCTCATTTATTTTCAATTTTGTGTGCACATTAATAGCACGATTTGTTAATATTATATATTTTGATTTCTTTAAATTTAAGGTTAATTTGTTTGAATCTTACCAACACTTTAATATATTTAATAATAATAATTGTCTCCAATAAGGTTTTTAAATCTTTACCAGAACTAAGGATATTAGTATCATCTGCAAATAATGTAAAATGTAATATTTTTTATACTTAACATAGATAGTAAAGGAGTCAACATATGACTTGATGTTGATGCTAAGCAGGTTTGAGAAGAAAATATGGGTCAAGCATATAAAAATGTCTGTTTTAATGTTTTTGTTTATTATTATTATTTTAGGTCAACTTTATTATTAGTTCTCAGCTTTGAATTGAAACTGCATAGCTATCTGTTTAATGATCCTGCAGTGCTTGTTTCTTTTAAATCAACCTAACTGCAGAATAAACATGATAAGACCACCTGAGCAGAAGTTATCACTTTTGGTCATAAAATCTGGACAGGCGACACAAATTTCGCCTTTTTGTTGTAAAATCTAACAAAACGAATCACGTCAATTATTTACCTGCTCGTTCAAGGAGTTTTGAATTCAATCTACTCAGTTAAATACATAAATTATTCCATACAACTTAAAGAAAAGGAAAGTTCTTACCCAACAACGAGGCAGTTTGTGTAACATAAACTGGCAGCTGTCGCTAGTGGCTAACATTAGCTCTAGTCCACTTCCAGGTTTATTTTTAGCCCAATGAGATAAACCAGTTTATATGAATTAAACAATATTTATAACCAAATCAAGCCTTTTTATAGATATATTTTAATATTTTTAAGTTTAGGCATAAACCAGGAAATTGAGCAGCTAAGTTGTAAGCTAGGCTAACAGCTAATTAGCAAAGATGTTCATGAGCGTCAATGTTGCGTTGTTTTTTTTTTGTTTTGTTTTTGTTTTTTTTAATAGTCATAACCATAGTCAAGTCATTTACAAGCCTTTTAACAGATATATTTTAATATTATTACGTTTAGGCATAAACCAGAAAATTGAGCAGCTAAGTTGTAGGCTAGGCTAACAGCTGTTTAGCAAAGGTGTTCATGAGCGTCAGTGTTGCGCATTCATTTTACTTTCATAATCAAAGTCAAGTCATTCATGGAATAATCTATTTTAGACGGCAATTGTAAACTATTATTTTCATAATAAATAACACTTCACACTGGATTGAAGTGATTCAAGTTTATTCNCATTTCAATGACTTTTTATTTATATGTTAAATATTGACTTACCCTTCGAGTCCAGCTCAACTACTCCCAGTTTAACACCTACAGGCAACTGTGACCATTATTCTAGGAAATTCCCTGTCACTGCTTTTTCTGTCCAAACAATCTGACTACAATGACTGCCCTGGCTCTAAAATAATAGATTTTTAGTTTGGCATTGTTACAGCAAACTGCCAGTTTGCAGGACTGCCAGATACTTCTTCATACAAATAAATAAACAATGGTTTATGTTTCATGGTGCTGGAATATACTCACTTTGAGTCTGTTTGAAGCTCTCTAAAACTAGAGCCATCCAATGAAGAGTCAACTAAAGCGAGAATGGACATACTGATGCATTCATAAACATAATCAGAAGCCTAATTTATCAGCAAATTATTAACTCTATTCAGATGCATATGTTTTTATAGATCAATTTCAAAATGATGAATATACTATGTTTCAATACCAGGATTTACTTTTCTTGCCAAGATTGTGTTTACTTTGCAAGCAAGAAGAATTGTTTAACGGTTTGTGTAACTCTAGAACATATGACTCCTGGTGGAAGTTTGTACGGAAGAGGATTAGGGCCACTGAAAAATTTAAAAAAAAGTTATTTTTAAATTTTATTTCAGTTTAATGTGGGGGAGAAGTTAGAATTCTGAGATTAAAGTCGGAATTCTGAGAAAAAAAGTCTTAATTCTGAGATTAAAGTCAGAATTTTAAGAAAAAAAAGTCAGAATTCTGAAACTAAAGTCATAATTCTGAGAAAAAAAGTCAGAATTCTGAGATTATATTCAGAATTCTGACTTTTTGTCATTAAAACTTACATCAAATTTAAAAACCAGTTGACTTTTTTTTTTTTTTTCAGTGGTTCTAATCCTCTTCCGTAGTTTGCAGTTCAGTAGAGATGGTTGCTGAGTAATTTTGGGGTTAGTCCAAGAATGCCACTATTATCAAATATGGAAAATAACAATACACATTACATAAATCTATAACTATATGGTTGAATAGGTACAAATATTCATGCTTGAATACAGCACTCTGTGAACAGCCATGAGATTTAGAAGCATCTAACATCATTAAATGTAAAGTTTATATACATTTTATTAACATAAACAAATGCTTTTAAAAAAATCTGTCTCATGAATCTATATGTAAGCTCCACTTTTTAAAATCAATTATTATTCAAAGCCTCAAATCAGCGATGAGCCTGCTGCATTATGCTTCAATCAGTTTCATGAGGTTTTCATGATCTTCTATCCTTCAGCAAGGTGACAAACTGGCCTTGATTTTATATTATTTTTTCACAATCTAGTCCCCTGGGGCTGGGTTTGTATTTGATGCTTTTTGGTAAAATAATAAAACAATTTTTTTAGTTTTTTTATATAGATAAAAGAAAATAGGTTAAAAAAAACAAATCATACATTTTTTTTGACCAAAAAAAAGTAGTATAAAACTCAGTTACAACAAAACTTCATGTCACTATATTTAACAAGGCCCTGCGATAAAACCTATGCAAAATACAACATGAACATAAATAGTTTTTAATATTTACATTAAATATACATTAATTGACAGTAACAGTATAGTGTACAATACAAACAGTGCACAAATATTTAATGACGTCATTTCATGTTTACATTGAACACATTGATAAGATAAAAATAGGCTGTACTGGATTGTAGCCATAAACTACAACACTTGGGGTATGATTTAATCAGTTCTTTAAAAAAAAAAAAAGTCCTTCTTAATAACCAGAGCCCACGTCATGATTTAACATCATGATTCCCATCATGGATAAGATGCAGTCTTTACAGTGCACAATCACTAATATCAAAGAGCTTTTTTCCTCTTAAAGGCTAAGTGTTTTTCTTTTTGTTCTGCAGGAATCACTTTGCTTTTGTACCGCATGTGCTTTCCTGCCACTCCGCAAAACAGTCAACTCTTTGGTTGTGGTGTTCACTGACAGCCACACTCATCCACTATCATGTCTTCGTGGTGTCGAAGAAGCATTTCTCCATTCTCGTAGTATAGCATGCTCAGCGCGCTCATTTTGGTCGGAGCGCAACATGGTGGCACCACTCGTTCAGGATGGAAATGTTTCAGGAGACTCTTAGAAAAAGACATAATAAAAGTTGGTTTAGGTTAAAGTGTCATACATCATTTCTAAAAGCAACATTTCATTTACTTGAACGTTTTTATTAGCAACACATCCAAGTTAAATCTAAATAGTATTCAATCAGAAGCCAAAATCACATCAATCAAGCTTTGTACAAGTATTCAACCTTTGACTAGTTTTCCAGTTGTTCAGACTAGAAAAACAAACTTCAGCATATTCTACTATAATGCCACAAGCATGGTCAAACATGGTGGTGGCAGCATCATGCTATGAAAATTCTAGTCTTCAAGAACATGGTAATCTTAAACAAAATATTTTACAGTCTGCAAAGGTCTTTAACCTGAGATTAATTAAATAAAAAAGTAAAAGCTATTAAAATAGCTTTAAAATAGCTATTAAAATAGGCTTAAAATTTACTCTCCAAATGTGCAAAGCTGAAAGAGCCATAGCCCCAAAAGGTTTACAGCTATAGTCACAGCTCTAGATGAATCTTGAGTCTATACCTGGAGGGGCTAAATATTTATAGGCATATTAAACATTTGGCATTTGAAATTGTTGAAAAAAAATGCTGCTAAGTTCATTTTATGATGTATGTACATAATCAGTGGACATTTCCAATGTTTTTTGACTAATCTTGTAGGTTTACTGTAGGTGTCAATTGGGTTAAGGTTAGGGTGAGATATATATTGCTAATGGTTAGGTTTAGGGTTATGGCATAGAAAGGGTTGAAAATGACTGAAAATCAATGGAAGGCAAAGGGAGTCACCATGTCATGGTCCTCACTACATATAGCAGAACAAACATGTGTGTGTGTGTGTGTGTGTGTGTGTGTGGGGGGGGGGGGGGGGGGGGGGGGGGGGGGTCTTGCTGGTGTTTATCTCTATCTACAATGCGTCAGTGATTAATTGCGATCACTTTTTCAGAGATAAGTTGGTGAAACCAGCTAACAAAAGAACCAATAACTGAGCAAAACCAACCTTTCTTATCCAATTTAATGCTTAAAGCAAACAGAAACTAATAGATAACAGATTGAGTGTGCTATTTACCTGCATATAAGCGTGATTAGTTGGATTCAGACCTTCTCCCAGAGGACCAGGGCAAGAACCTTCACATCGGTAGGCGTTATATCTTTTGGGAAAGACGATCCAAGAGCCCCAGCCAATTTGATTGAAATCAACGTGCAAGTCCACTCTGCGGCAGAGGGACTTTTCGCCCCCTTTCATGGGAAACTGTGGGTTTCTCGCCGTTTGATCCCTCTGGCCCCGTTTGCTCCTACGCCTCTTCGGCCGGGGGACCCTTTTAATTTCAGCAGCCGACAAGAACTTGGATTGCTCAGCTGTATGCAGCAGGCTCGCTTTAGCTCTTGAGCTTTCATCAGACCCCGTTTGGGAGAAGATCACCAGTAAGGCCTGACCACCTGTCTCAAACACAGGTGGAATAGAGAGGCTCCTCTTCTTCCCAATTCCTTTCTTACGCCTTGATATTCTTTTGGTTCGGCTTTTTGCAGCCGATTTCTGCCTGAGCCACCCTAGGAGGGGGCTTGTCATGTTGAACACCTTCCAGCTGTGTGACGAAGTTACCAGTGATGACATGTTGAGCAGTCCTACTGGCTCATGATGCAGGTGATACACCTCCACTGAGGCATTGAGAGGATTATGTGTTGGAGGAAGTCTGATCCTCAGCTCTGCAGCCTGGATGTGCTTATCAGTCAGCAACACGTGGAGGTCAAAGGTCACCACCCAACGGCCATGTCTGTAGGTCAAACCTGAAAAAAATAAAAAGACCACTGGGTACTATGGGTTCAGAATATTAAAGCATTCTAAAGTTATCCTTTAAAGGGAATTAAAAATGTTCTTCTTCCCACTCTTTTTAAACAAAGACTTTACTATTTCAGTAATATCTTTATCCTTTTGTTTCTCCTAATTTTTTTATTATTTCTGTATGTTCAAATACAACTTTAAAATATAATAAATGCTTTCATTTTTATTATTATTGTTAAAAGTAATGTAGTAATGCTATACCAAGACCCAATGTTCCCAAAAATTGCCCATCGTTCATAATCGAGATAACAAAATAAGAGAACTAAATAAGAAAAGGATCAATGAGATTTATTAGTAGGAAACACCAAAGAAAGTCTATAACTGTTTAAGCAAAAACAGTCTGTGGATTGAAAAAAAGAAACAATTTAATGTGCAGCATTAAGCGAACTATTTAAAAAAAATTCACAGTAAAAATGAATAATAAGAAAATAGCTATAAAAGGCCAGTAGCTGTATATTTCTTCACAAAACCGGAATGAAACATAATCAATAACACATTACTACGTGAGTGGCGAACTTGAATAGATATTAAACATTTATGGTGCATTTATTATTTTTTTCACCGGTAGTTAGGCTATTACTATTTTTTTTTTTGAGTTTAGAGTCAGTGAGAAACTTTGAAACCACTTGGAATGTTTAGCTTAGGGTACAAGTATATATTTTTAAATTTTAAATTTTTTTGTAAATGGAGAGCCTCAAGAAAACATACAATACTGATGAATAAGATGGAAAACAACAAAACACTGGAAAGGTCTAAACTATAATAAACTACTGATTTACAATGTCTGCCAGTTTGATGGTACTTTTGCTGAGATTGTATAAAAGGTTTGAAAACCACTCAGTCATTCAGGCAGCAGGTTTTTTTTTTATTTTTATACCAGTTCTTCAGTTTATTTATACATTGATGCTCATGAGATTTTTGCCCAACAGTTGATGCATATTTTCATATATATTATTATATTAAACAACAAAGTCACCACTAAAAGGATTTTTTACAACGATATGGAATCTTCAGCTAAAACCTGCCTGATCTATATATGCTCTAGTCAATGAAGCACATACTTTGCTTGCAGAAGATGAGGTAAGGAAAATAAAACTGCCTCTCTGTTTTACTGATGCTTTTTTTGTTTAATCCCCTTCTGCTCAAACCCCCGGTTTGTCATAGCAGATGGCTGTTTAAAATTAGCCTTATTTTGCTGGAACTTTTTTCAAAATAAAGTTCTTCATACTTTAAAGTCAATCACATTACAAGTTACTGTCCAACATGGCCTTGTTCATCCATGAAGGGGTGAATTCTGCATGTCTAACTTGATGAAATATGTTGGACAAAAAACTTTTTAACCAATGGATGATTGTGTTATACAAATTAACTTATTTTACTTCAATTCAGGGAGGGTTTAAAATATGAGATGAAACGCTAACATAATTTAAACTGCTCCTCATACAATTCTGAGACAAAACAAAAGAACAAATTGATCATTATAAAATATTTTGAATTCCTTTTATCGTATATTGTAATAATAATATAGATAAACAGATATATTAATATGAAACAGCCATAATAACACCATGAAATAATACCAACACATTGTTTAATCTCATTTTGATTCAGCTTTAGCTGGTCACAGCAGCATTATACTCAAGGTGTGCCCTATTTCAGACCAATCATATTTATTAAAAGCCTTATTAAAGCTTTATTAAAAGCCAAATAATTTATAGATAGTTTCAAATATTAGTTATTTTTAATTGAAAACAATCAGTTTTTTCTAGTAAGCTGAAGATAATGAAAGATTATATTTTATGGCATTGAAGCAAGTTTAAACAGACACAACAACAGATAAAAGATGAAAACCAGAGTCCAGAATTCATTTAACATTGTCCAATCTGTTGTTCCAGCTGAAAGGCTTACTGGACTGGAGATGTTTTCACATTGTAGAGGCAACAGATAGATTTTTAACATTGTTGCAAATTAACATAGGTATTATTTTCAAATAAAGATGTGGGGTGCTGACAGACCGCAACCAAAGTAGACTGAATGCTGAAACGGATTTAAAAAATTTCTAGATTAAGTAGGAGTTTAAGACTTTGCAGTTATGATGACAGGTCATTGCATTTATTTTTCTTTCTTTTTTTCTTCCTGTTTCTTCCTTATATGTGTTACATTTAAATAAATATCCAAGGGTAGATACCACCTTCTTTATGGAAAAAATATTTTTTAAATTATTTATTATGGCTTACACTCACATAAATATTTTCTCCAAATTCTAGGATTTATGTCATTTTATTAGATTAAAAAAAAAAAAATTTTCCTTTTTTTCCCCAACACAAACCTAGCAAATAAACCAAACATAATGCATATTCATTCATTTAATATAGATTATTTATTTAAAATACATAATTTTATATAAAGTATACAGACTCAAATTTTATATTAATGAGTGTATTTATTTTAAATTCATAAAGTGAATTGTTTAAATAGCATAAAAACCAGGTTACCTTTAACTAATGTAATAAATAAATTAAATAAATACACGCATTAGTATTATTATTAATACTTAATCTGGTTATTATAATTAAAAATAAGCTTTATTATACAAATAATTATGTATCATGTTTATTCAGTAGGTTTGTGCTATAGTTATTACAAAAAGGAAGTGGAAATGTGTTATGTAATAAAATACACAAATCTTAAAAGTGAAATATTGACATGATTGTATTTTTTGACAAAAATGTATAATTTTAAAAGTTTTCACTTTTGAAAAAAAATCCTTTGTCATCTAATTATTTGTATTCTAAAACAATAACTTTTTTTTTTTTTTTTTTTACTGGATTCTGAGGAGAGAAAAAAAACAATTAACAAAACATACAACCCCCAGAAAAAGTCTTGCCCAGGATTTATTTCTATGTCTCTAATTCACCAATTAATAGTTGCATGCTATTATATTTCTGAATGAATTCCAACAAATCTATGAGATAATATATAATACATTAAATCTGAACCTATAATATGTCCTATAATAAAGGTCATCCACTAATGAGAATAATTATGATTTAATAAACATCTGTGATTATAAGATTGAAGCCCATTTAAAATTTGCTTTGTTATTTGCAATGCTCTCCATTGAATGTGATTGTTGATCAACAGTCCAATCCATGCCCACTATTAATCCACTCAAACCAAACGATCAGCCGAAACCAATCATTTAACACGTCCCTGCTGGTCCTGAGGCTTCTTGCATATCCTCAGTAGAACAAATATAGTAGAGCTGTGAAATTGGATTCAGCAGCTGGGCTTCTAGTGCCACACCATTAAATCCTGAGCTCTAATCTAATCAGCCCAAGTGTGAAAAAAGAACTGAGGGAAGTTGTTGATTTGACCTTAAAAAGAGATTTGTATAGGGGGATGTCTGGCGAGGTACCAAATCAACATCATTTATTTGAAGAAGAAGGGGAAAAAAAGGGGTTTGCTTGAAGAATTAGAAAGAAAACCGGCCTTTTCACACGCTGACCCTTGCTTGGTTATTGGCCCCCTGAGAGAGGATGTGGATTGAAGCCTCTGAGGTCGTCTGGCAGGAGAAAATGACTAACATCTTTAAGTGCCAGAGGAGGGTAGTCCAAATTAAATGCATTCTGACCTATTTGTGTAGAATATCTAAATCTAAAACCTCAACCTCAACCCGAATCAAAGTAACAAACTTACTTTTGGCCATCATGCTCTTTACTGTATCCGCGCGCTTCGCTGCGTCCTGCTCCATGTTATCCAGGGGCCCGGAGAAGTTGGACCTGAAGTTCCTGTAAAGATGCATCATATAGGTAGGCAGGTGGTATCCCGTGGATCGCTCCGTCAGGGCGAAGCGGTGCAGAGACCTCATGATGAGCCCATCTCTGGATTTATGGATCCCGTGCGCCAGCAGCACCAGCAGCGATGCGTGCAGCGCGACGCCCAGGACTCCCAATGAGCGCATTGCTGTCAGTCTGTCGGCAGCAAGAGAAATTCCTGCACACAGCAGATTAGGGGTGTCTTATATACTGTCACCCACCCACTTTCATGTTTAACAAGTTGCTGAGAACATTAAAGGATATTGACATGCGTCCTCAAGACTTGTTACCTGACAGCTCATCAGCCATTCAGTTGGTAATGAGGCGGCTAGGGTGCGAGGTGGTTTTGTTTGTCTCAGGGCTCTTCAGTCTGACTCCCAATCCTTGGATTTTGGGCTATTTAGTGTGGAGTGTTGATAATGGACATCACCCAGAAGGGCCCATCCATCCAGAGAAACATGGTGGTGGTGGCACCATCCTGGTTGGATTCTTAACAGCAGCGACATGGACAATGGGAATATGAAAGGAGTTTTAAGGGTGGGTGGGGTTAGTTGAAGAAAACCTGTTCCAGGCTATAAAATAGGGTGTAGGTTTAGCCTTCAGCAACCTGACTTCCCAACCATGATTTATTTTTAAACTATCTTACCTTTACTTTGTATTATAATAATGGATGGATGGATGGATGGATGGATGGATGGATGGATGGATGGATGGATGGATGGATGGATGGATGGATGGATGGATGGATGGATTAAAAAAGTTTGTGCATCCCAGTTCAACCGCCATAATGCATCATGTCAGAACTCCTGCCACTTTAAATTTGACACATGCCTAACTTATCCAATAAACAAATCTGTAAGGAGAGGGAATGTAAAAAAAAACAAAACAATAAAGAAAACAGAAAAGGCTGTATTCATGTACCTGTTCCTTAATCAATTTAATTTTCCTTGGTGCACACCTCATATATATATTATAGTGCAGGGTTCACCAATCTTTTTATGGCTTAGAACTTCTTCATGGGTGCTGCATCATAAGAAGGGCTACCAGTACTGACCTATGAACTGGAGATGTCAGCAATTACTTGATGCATAATAAACATATATTTAATGTTTCTTTTAATTTTCACTTTTCTTTTGGATATTTTTATTTTGAAATCTCAAATAAATGCAGGTGTGATTAAAATATAAGGTCAAGAGAAAATAAAATACAGAGAAAAAAAAAAACATTTCAAACTTAGCCCTGGTGAGTTGTGCTGTTTTTAGAAGAGTCTGGGGGCACCCCATGTGATCCTTTAGGGCCCCTTGTTACCCGTGGGCACCGTGCTTGTGACCCTTATTATAGTGAATCTAATGGATTGTACATAAAGTCGAGCTATCCTAAAACTATTCTGATATTCAACGTTTGTATAATTTTACTAATGCTGTAGTTTGCATAGAGGTTACGAATGATCAAAAATAAGAGCATTATATACTGTATAAACTACATAAAGTGTTATTCATAAAACAATTTCAAAACAACACTATCAACCAAACTGCTGTATTGATAAAAACTGATAAATACAAAAGTACACTTAGTACTAGCAGGCACGAATACACAAAATCAGTGACCATCTCATAAAACAACATAGCAATAAAATGGAATCGTACAAATAGTTTTAAAATAGCACAGTAAATACATCTGTAATTAGACTCGTTGTCTTCTGGTGATCCATGCTGACTGCCAGACTTCCCTTCTCCCCAGACACCTCCTTAAGCACCTCTAGGGAATGCTAGAGGTGTTCCAGGGCTGTTCCCTCCAACATGTCCTGGGCTTTTCACTGGGTCTAGAGGCCCCTCATCTACCCTGTGGAGGAAGCTACTTTCTTCCGCCTGTGTACGAAATCTCCCTCTTTCTGTCATGACCAAGATGTCTTTTTGCCTTTTTTCCTCAGCTCCCTTCTGTCAGCATTGTAGCCAATATATTAAATATCATTGATACCATTTAAACTGAATGTTTTAAAGCATAGACAAGATGGAAACTGGTGTAACACTGAAAGACCTGCAGGAAAGTTTGGTGCAAACCGATTGTGCTCAGCTACTGACAACAATTCAGCAAATACTTGATCTACCTGGTCTAAGAAAATTTGACAGGCCTGACTAAAATTTTGAAAAACCTTAAATAAGTATGGCCTTATGATAAAACAATACAAAACATGGCCATGTTTCTGCTAAATAAAACCATACTGTTTTATTTCCAGCACACTGTCCCAGTACAGAGCAACGAAATGAACATTCTGCATTTAACCTTAGGGAGCAGTGGGCTGCCATTGTGCGGCGCCCGGGGAGCAGTGTCTTTGCTCAGGGACCCAGAGTGGCAGTCGATGGGAGTGGCTCAAACTCAGAACCTCAGGATTCCAAGCTCTATGCCCTAACCACTAGGCCACCATTGTATTTTTTAGCATCACTGTGATTCCAGGATCCAGATAAATACAAGAGAATGGCTTCAATGAGAGGTCTAGCAGGAGTTCAGCAGTGAAATCCACAGAGAATCCCTTGACAGAGGTCCCTTGAAGGAGGACAGCTGATATTAGACGTGTCCTCAAGCTCTATTCAATTTGAGAGAACATTTGCAAAGCAGATTGAGCAAATATTGACAAGTCAAATGTGGGAGGCTGACAGACTAAATCTTGAAATTAAGTCAAAAGGTTCTTCAACAGGGTACTAGTTTACAGGTCCAACTTTAAGCAACTGCATTGCTGAAGCTTTTACTTTTCTAAGAACAGTCACACTAAAAACATTTTTAAAGCGGAATAAAGGTTTTGAAGTCATTTCTCATGGTATCATCTTTACAACCAGGGACCGATCTATCTTATGGAAATTCAAAAACATGGCATACATGCAAACCTGAGGTGCTGTGGTCGCATTAGACAAAAAGTGAACATTATGGATAAAATAACACTATATGCAGCTGATATGCACATTAATTAAAAATTGACATGCAGTGTAACATGATAAGGATTATGCTATGCTATGAGGAAGCTGGTTAGTGCATAAAGGAAGCTGAATGGAGCTGCAGTTTGGAAGGAAATTTGTTAAAGATTGCAAGATATTTGGAGACTTGAGTTTTACCCTAACCTCACGTCATCATTACTTTATCTATTTATTTTGTGCTGACAGTTAGATTTTAGTGTCAAGCAGACTATTAGGATACTATATTGAAATGGTATGTAGTCTTTCATATAATGAAACAAGCAGCAAAAGTCTACTTTGTCATTCATTAAGACTGATTCATATTTTGCTGCAGATTTAGGGTTTCTGAACTAATGTAAAATCTGTGTCAGCAAAAAAAATGCTGAATAATCATATGGATCTATTTAATATGAAACATTTTTATAGTGTTTTTAGTTTAAATATTTTTAATTTAATGGAATGACATAAAAGTTTCATTACTTGTAAGTGTGTCTTACCTGCTGGGGGAGAGTTTATAGTTACCATTAATCAAGTCTTGATAGATTTAGCTTAAAGATATCTTTAACGGTTGGTGGAGAAATCTGACGACTAAAGTAAAGAGAAAGTATAGTCAAAGAAAAAAGTTGCAGAAAAAAGTACTGCCAATCTGAACTAGAGAGACCCCTTGAAAAATAAATCAAATCTAATTTAATCAATTTATTATAATTTCATTAGTTAATACCTAATAGCCCGTAGCAAAATATGAAAGCCGTTTTCTTGGATATATAACATATCAGTTATAAAACCATAATTCGATCAAATATATAAAGAATTAAATAAATTTTTTGCTTGACCAAAATCTGTCCCTTTGCATTATATATAAAATACAAACTTTTTGAGAAGTACTTATTTAGAAAAAATGTTTTTTTAATTCATTGATCAAATTTTATAAAGCTTTCCTGAGATCAGAATTCAACATGGAGAGGAACTGATGAAAAAGAGTAGTCCCTCATTTCCAACTTAAATAATAATTCCAAGCTATTTATTGTCTAAAACGTTTTAAGTAGCAGTTAGTATAAAATCATCTTGAAGTTATAACCTTTTTAATGTTACATTTGATGGCAGGCTCTGTTAGGGCTGCCATGCAAGCCATCTAAGAGCCTTGATTAGTTGCATGCTTTGATTATACCTCAGATCGGGAGCCACATATCATGATCTTAATTGTGGAGATTACAGGAGCCGCTGACAATAATCCATTTCATCTGCCTTCAATGTTTTCTCTTCAGAGCCATACAGCTGGAATACCATGTTAATAAACATATAGTTACGGACTGTTTTATAAGGTGAATTTCATAATTGCTTTTTTACAAAAAAAGCCAGCCATTTAGCAGTAAATCAATGCATGTAGACATATAGACCGTCTTAGTCAGTAAAAAAACATGCTGCTGTCATTTTGCACATCTGATGTTGCTGCTATTTATCAATATATATCCATTACTGTAAAAATGTCTGCTTTTTATTGATTATTTACTTTCCGAATACAGAGCATTTAACTTGTAAAAACACTGTATAGTGCAGTACTTTTTGTTAAATCTGTCACGTATTCTGTTATTTGTATACACTTTCTAAGGTCCACATTGTGTGACGCCTTCATGTATAACCTTTTGGTGCTGTAACGCCACAATTTCCTCATTGTGGGACAATAAAGGGATTTTCTATTCTATTCTATTCTATTCTATTCTACTTAGATGGTGAAGATAACTTGTTGAATTGTATACTGGGCTTTTGAATGAGGAACAAAAAGGAGTTACGTTAATTTGAAGAAGCAGTTGTCCAGAACCACCATCCTGCTGTAGGCTATACCCAGTTTTTCACAAACACAAAATAATTTCTTATTTGTACAGAGAATGAAAGAAAAAACATGATTTAAGGTAGATCAGTCATGGGTAGGCTAGTTTGAAATTGATTAATAGGCAACAGCAACTCCTGTTACAAACAAGTTTTACAGGATACCATCCCTGAATCTTGCTGCAGATATCCTTCAGCCAGGTTTAACAAACAGTAACAGATTGGTGTCTGTTCTGAGTATATATCAAGATGATATGGGTCAGAATTAAGTCTAAACAACATGGCAGACAGCATGGGTCCCTAATCCTGCCTTGCATCAGTAGTTCAGGATGGGGGGTGGTATTTAGCCATAATGGTGAGGGGATTACTTT